AGAAATAAAGAAATATTAGATATGTTTAGCACCACTGACAAATGAAAACACAAAACAATCTAAAATAATTATATATAAAAAATAATCATGTAAAATACTTGCAAATTGCTATCCAAATTCCTGTGCCCATTTCTGTGACATACTGCCACAGCATGATAGCAGCCTGATTTAATCTCAGGGATTATTTTACACTGCAGTATTTATTTCTAACAGCAGGTGCTCAGAAAAAAATAGGAACTGGGTTTGAAATAAAATAAAGCACAAATTTTCCTTATTCCTCTGATTTCCACCTGTCCAGGTGACTTGCTTAACAGCACTGCAAGAGCAACATTGTAATTTTATTCTTTTTATATATAAAATAGTTGGGTAATTGTAACTCTTTTTTTTTTTTTTCCCTTACAATTGTAGAATATTTTGTTACGTGTTACTGCAGTAGGCTACTATTTATAAACTAAATCAATAAAGTAAAATTTCAGGCCCCCAAACATTTGTCTAGTTCCTTGGTATGGACTAATGTCATAATGCCCTTTGAATTCTCACTGTGGAGTGAACTGTCCCTCTCTTCTGTGCTCAGATTTTCCCTGAAGAAAAAAAGTTCATTTCAAATTGGATTGCATAGGTAAAACTTAGGATATGCAGAGTGAATCATTAAGGTCCTGTGGTAAAAGAGGAACAAACCAAGCAGTGCAGACATTCAAAAAAAGGAAGTGGGCAAGACTAGATTTATATTTAACTGGACTATCCCTAGGTATAACCTACAGCATCATCCTGTCTGTTCTGTTTAAACATCTGAGTTTCCTTACAGAAGGGCTGTCTTTTTAGCATGAAGCAGTTAGAAATTTGCATATCTGTGTCACAGCAGTGTATTATCATTTCAATCTTAACATTTGGTTATTTTATCAGGACAGTTAAATACTCAACTAAGGGACGGGGAGAAAACAGTAAGCTCCTGGTAGTAACCACTTTCAATTTTTTTTTTATTATTTTTTTTAAGGTAGCTTCTGTACTGCATGTGGAGATAGGTTATTTACAAACTGTAGTTAGTTTTGGCACACAAAATACTTAAGCAAGCAAGTATTCCCGGAATTAAAATAAATAAATAAATAAAAATTCCAGTAAAATGAAGATTGAACTCTCAAAAGTTCAAATGATACCTGACTAAACAAAACATGACTGATCTTCAGAGATTACATTTATATGTTTAAAATAAGTTTTCTTCATGAGTTTGTAGTAAATTTGCTGACACAGCTTTTACTTTAGCAGACCCATGTTGTTGTTTTTTAGTAATAAAAATATCCTTTCTATTATACCAGCTTTATTTGTTGTTATGGATTGCTTAAATCCACTATGAGAAGACTGCTTGTTGGAATTACCAAAACTTTAAACCAATATAGAAGGTGGAGAATTGGGCACCCTATTTTTATTAGGTGTTTTCTGTGTATTTATTATTACAGTTGTTTGTTTTCTCTTAAAGTACAAGCTGGTTTAAGCATTGCTTTTGCTGAACGTTGCTTTCTTGATTGATATCGTTATGTCTGTCCAGGCATGACTAAGTAGATAATTGTTTTGTCATGGCATGAAAGGAACGGAGGACATAAACAAGAATAAGGAGATAAAAATGCCACCATACAATATCAAAAAAGCAAAAAGAAAAAGTCTGAGTTATTGTATATTGCATTATGTTGGGAAATATGAGAAAGCAGAACAAGAACATATGCTGGCTCTTTTAGCACATGTAGTATTGATGCATCTTTTAAAAATAATGCTCAACATTTAACAATTTAAAAGAAAAATAAAAAGATGCTGATGCTATTATTTATATGAAGAATTAGGTTATAGTAAAAGTACTCAATAAATTTGGGGGGAATGGAGTAACTAATCCATGTGGGCTTGTCTTATTGGAAAGGCAGTAAATTTCCATTAGACTCCCTGTGCAGTATAACAAGGTAGCCCAGACTAATGTTTCTTCGGATATACTGGTAGTGAGATTAAAGTACAAAATTATTGGGTGAGAAGTAAAAGGGTTAATATTTAATTTGGAAATTAGATTCCCATAAAGCTGTCTCTCAAAAGTCACTTTTTCTGCAATTTTGTGATCCCTTGGTCTGCTAAAAACAACAGGCAGAGCAGCAAAATGACCAGTGAAATTAAGACTTGGTAGACTATTTTTGGATTTATCATTCCTTTGCTTGCAGGGTTATTAGGGCCTCAGGTATAATGTGGTAGAACAGCAGATGAAGTGCAAGTAATTTTGAAGAAAAATAATTTTTTCAGGTTCTAAGAAGAGATTAATTTCTGGTTCAGTAAAGCTCCCATGTCTTACTGACTTTAATATTCATAGCTAAAAGTAAGAAGCACTGGTTTATGCCCAATGAGTTCAGCAAAAGACAACTTGAATCCACAACAATTTGGCTAAAGCACAAAATTATTTTGACAGCTTCAAGGAATATGAATATAGAGGATTATACAGGAGTTCAGCTAATAAAATGATGGGCTCAATAGGCATTTTGCTTTTCACTTAGAAAAGGCTGGAAGGTTAGCCAGACTATAATTGGGTTGGTTGGCTAAAGAAAGTACATGAACAATAATATTAATGAAGAGGATATCCCCTTCATCAAGCTGTGAGCTTTCCTATAAGCAAATTAGCAAAGATTTTTCAAGGTTTTACAAAATGAATAAAAAGTGAAGAAACAACTCACACTCCTTTAAAATGTAAAAACAAAACAAAACAAAACAAAACAAAGAAAAGCACCACCACCACCAAGAAAAACAAACAAACAAAAACCAGATTTTATACATTTTAATCCGTTCCGTTAGGTACAAAGTGTAGAATTGACCCTTTTGATTATGCAAACACTAAGCAATTTGACAGGCACCAGCATTAGAGAAAATACATTGCTAACAATGATAGGATTATAGTTCAATGCAAACGTATCTGCAGATACTTAACACTCTCAGTGGCATGGTATAATAGTCCTGTTATGGCCATATCATTGACTATGTGTAATTGCTACTTTCCTGGCCATCGTGACTTAATTCCACAAGTCAAGATTGTATTTTAGAGATCTACCCACAAAAGACAACTGAGGAGAAGAAAACACACAAGGGTGTTCAGGAATAATAGCAACAACAACAAAAAAATCCACCACAAATCTGTTTTTAAGATTACATATAAAAGTTATGTGAATAATGATATTAAAATAGGTTATTTTTTGTACTTGGATGCCTCTGCAGTGTACTCCATTATTTCAAATTGAGACTAGAATAGGAGCTAGCTGAAAAACTTCCTTGCCTGAGACCAAAATAAAGTGTTTTTCATTAGCATGTTTCCAGACAGTCCCTCTGTTAATATTTTCAGGAACAAAAATATAATTGCCATTTTTTTCTAAGAAAGGAGGGAAAAGAAAGAAAGAAAGAAAGAAACAAACAAACAAAAAGCAAACTGGGAACATAGTGAAATTATGGAAGATCTAGATTACAACACCAGTGAAAAATTGGAACAAATTGGATAGGAATATAAAAGTATCAGTTCTGACTGAAGGATGGAACTTATGCAAACAGAAAAAAAAAAAAAACACAACACCCTTTTTAGAACATTTTGAGAAGTGTGAAAACTACAAATGCTAGAACTGTGAAAAGGAAACTGGGAATTTGATCCATATGTTCTGGAAATGCCACTGCCCACTGCTAAATTATTTTTGGAGAACAGAATGGAGAACAGAAGAACAACTGCTAAAGCTGTTATAAACACAGGCTCTCCCTGGTGATGCAAAAATTTTACCATGGCAGATATTAACGAGTGACTATTACCATCTGGATATGGTATTTGAAGAAATAATCTTTGGTACATTCTAGAATAATAATTACCAAGGAATACGGTATTATTTACCAATTACTTCTCAAATTCTCCAAGAGGAAATCATTCAGCTAACTCCAATGATAAAAAAACACAACACTATTCAGAGTGTTTCACAGATCAGTTTTCTTCTTATAGGTGAATATAGTTTAATAACTGAGTTTGTTTACATGATTCTACTGTCTTAACAAAGATCATATTTTAAGCTTGGAAAGCTCTTCATCATGGTATAGTTTTTCAAACTGAAGTATTTTTAAAGCATGCAAAATACAAAACAGCAATAGGACCTCTAAATAGATTCTGCCACTACTTCTAAAAACCAAAAGAGCATTAACTTACACAAATCATTCTGATTACAAGAGAAATAATTACCAAGTAACACGTGGAGCACACTGACTTGTTCATAGAAATGTGTGACAGGAAGGAATGAACATTATTTGCCCTGCTATTAAAAACAACCAAACCATATATTTCTATTCTGTACTTGTAGCAAGCAGGAACTTCATAACAGTTGGCACCTTCTACCTGAAGTTTGGCCCTGGACACTTATTCCTCTGACAATTGGATAGCCTCCAATTCCTACATTCAATTTATTCTAGACAGTTGGTACTCATTTATACCAACATTATCTTTCTAGTATGCAACATGTACTCTCATAACAAGTTCATTCTAGTAGCTCTTACCATACAAAGTGATTTAAAGAAAGTATTATGTACATTTTCTTGGCCATACCAGCAAACGCTCCCTGAAAATGTTAAAAGATGCTTTTTAAAAAATTCTGAATGGTGGCAACTATATACCATCTGTTTTGTTCTGGTTTAGAAAGGAATTGCATCAATCCGTGATGTTCTATACACCACCTCTCCCTCACAACAGCCACTAAGCAAAACCTAGCAACAAAGTTCTATCATATCAAAATATTGAAAAAATGATATTCTTTTATAATAAATGATGTAAAAATTATACAAATAACAAACTTGTGGTTTGATACTCATTTTTCCTCTTTTTGAAAAAAATGTCTTTGCTGAGCAATGTATCCACTCTAAAATAAATAATTTTCTGCATATATAACATAACCATCAAATTTGAACTGAACCTAAGTGCATTTTATTTTTCGTGTCTTTATTCATTCTTTTCTACATAGTATTTGTGGAATTCAGCATCTGGAACGAGCAGGAAACAGGTTGACTCTCTTTGACTCCCTTTATTTCTGCATAGTGACATTTTCCACTGTGGGCTTTGGGGATGTTACACCCAAGATATGGCCTTCAAAGCTGCTTGTTGTCATTATGATCTGTGTTGCTCTTGTGGTGTTGCCCATACAGGTAAATGTGGATTTTTTCTTCTCTTTCGAATTGTTTTTAAAACAAAACAACTGAAAAAATACTGTTATTATTGCATATAAAATATCAGAAAATTACTATCTTCTATATCTTCTATTCTATTTATACTTTTGCCACTGTTTGTCCTCATATAGTTTAGATTTATAATGAAATACGGAACACTAAAGCCAGTTTTCAACTGCTGGCAAAAGACATCAAGTACCACATAGCCCTTCTCTTCATCCTGAGATATGGGTTATTAATGGAGCAATTTAAAAAAGCAACACAAAACAAACAAAAAACAACCAAACAAAACCAACCAACCAACCAAAAAAAAACCCCAAAAAACAATAGCCAGCACTTTCTTTATGAGTATAACATTTCCTCTGCAGGCTTTCCCTATTTCTAATCTTGCTTCTCTCCACTTCCTCTCTTACTCTTACAGCTCAGCGCTAACTTAAAAAAACCAACTCATCAAATCTGCAACTTAAGCAAATTTTCTTCATATCTGTGTATGTCAGTATACACAGAGTCAAATGCACGTTTAGAAAATTTTGATGCCTGTATAGGCTTAGGCCTTCTAACCCGTTTCCACAAGAAAAGGTTGATTGATCCAAGTATTTCAATGAATCAATCAGTTTCATTACATTTACTGAACATTTGTCAGCTCATTAGCAAATGCTTGATGTCAGACACCCTCAGACTATAAGGCAGCACTGTCATGATGTTAATGGTCTGACATCTGGTGATGACCTAGACCTCCAGGACACAAAAGGGAAGTGTGAGGAGACACCATTCATGCTTATCAAATCTTGGAGTAGGCCTGATAGACCTTGAAGCTGCAGTTTCTCACACAGCTATGGTTTCCAGACTCTGCTTTTCTGATGGTGAACTAAAGCTTACTGTGAGCAAACACCATAGAGTCCCTGGAAGGCTTGAAGCTTGAGCTGTCAGCATTAATTTCCTTGAAAAAATTTGAACATTTCAATTATAGCTAAATATACAAACATACACAAACATATGCACTAATACAATTATATTCCCACTCAGTGGCAATTTAGTAAAATACATATTCTTTTTGAGACTAAAATATGCTTTAAGAAATTTGGAACTTCCTCAGAAATAGAAATTTCATGTTTGAACTACTTCTAATGTACACTTAAGCATCGTGTATATCGCATCCCTCCTGAGCAAAACTGCAGGCCACCATGAGGTCTCCCCTCAGTCTCCTCTTCTCCAGGTTGAACAAACCAAGTGACCACAGCCACACCTCATACATCCTCCCATCTAGATCCTTCACCATCTTTGTTGCCCTCCTTTGGACACTCTAATATTTTTTATGTCCTTATACTGTGGTGCCCCAAACTGCATACAGTACTCGAGGTAAGGCTGCAGAGTAGAGTGGGACAATCACTTTCCTTGACTGGCTAGCAATGCAGTGCTTGATGCTCCTCAGGAGATGGGTGGCCCTTTTGGCTGCCAGGGCGCACTGTTGACCTTGCAATTAACCAGAAGCCCCAGACCCTTCTCCACTGAGCTGCCCTCCAGCTGCTTGTTCCTCAGTCTGTATATATATCCAGGGTTGCTGTCCCAGGTGTAGAATCCAGCACTTGCTCTTGTTAAATTTCATACACAAATATTCATTCTTGTTAAATTTCACACACATACACATACATTCACTAGAGTGCCTAGCACTCTCGTCCATCAAGATCTTTTTGCAAGGCCTCCCTGCCCTTGAGGCCTCCTCCTAACAGCTCCTCCTAATTAAGTATCATTTGCAAACTTAGTATGCATTCAAGTCCTTTGTACAGATTATTCATAAAAACATTGAAGACAACTGTCACCCCAAAATGGAGCCCTGGTGTACCCCGCTAGTGACTGGCCACCAGCCCGATCTAATCCCATTTACTATAATCCTCTGATCTCTTGAGCTTTTGTCCTGCTATGATATAAATACAATTATTATTCACAATTCAGTTTCTCCATCAGTTGAATGGAGTGAGAAAAAGAGTAGTTACCAAAAACAGTTAAATGAAGCTCAGGATTAAATGCATATTACTTACTACAAGAACCTTTGAGATGACATTTGTGTGTTTTAGTAGTGGCACAGATCATTACAATATTATCTTTAGTCTAACAGGTTCAGACTAGAGGAGCAACATTTTATATACTTAATAACTAATTCATATTTCCTAGCCTATTGTGCACTAGGCTTCCCTTTGCAAGAGTACAAAACAGGTATTACTGTTAGCCTGCATACACTGTTAGCTGAATGCATCTATCATTCAGCAGCTGGCAAATGCAAAATTGCTGTATTAACAGTTTCAATTATTTTAATTGGTACCTATATGTATAAAACAGATAGTTGAGTATAGATTTGATAGGAATATACAATATTGTCACCTCCTGAATATTATAAAATCTCTGAAGAGAGTCATTGTCCAAAGAAAAATGGTGCTTCTATCTGAACATTTATACTTATAGTGACCTACATGTATGAAAATTTAACCTTTCATTTGAGAGAAGCATTTAGGTAACAGGGCACTGGAAAAACAGATCAGAGGTGTGAAATAAATAAAGTAAATAAGGTACCGTCTTCATTCTTTTCCAAATTTTTGTGACTGAGTATCACATGATATTTTAATGGACTTATCCTGCTATTTGTGTGATAGAGACTGGCTGTGTTGCCATGTTTTTTTATTGATCTAATCTACTTATTAAAGAACTTTTTTTTTTTACAAAGAAAAATGCATTGGGAGCTAAGGACATCTTTTAATAAAGGTATGAGCTAAACAACCCAATGTAGCTAAGTCATGATACAGTTTTACTGCACAGCTGCTTGTCTATATTTCACCGACACATGGCATCTATTGCAGTTTGAACAGCTGGCATACTTGTGGATGGAAAGACAAAAGTCTGGTGGCAACTACAGTCGACACAGAGCTCAGACGGAAAAACATGTTGTGCTGTGTGTCAGCTCCCTGAAGATTGATTTACTTATGGATTTCTTAAACGAATTCTATGCTCACCCCAGACTGCAGGTATTTAGAGTGAAAAAAAACAAAAAACAAAAACCAAAAAACAACAAAACTCAAAACACTGATTTCGGGAGACAGTGTTCTGGAATGGCCTTTAATTTGAAAAACTGGATTTGGGAATAGTTGACTGAATTGGGAATCTCTAATTGCAGTAAGAAGCTGAGATACAGTATGGAGACAATCATTTTGAATTGAGCTAAAGGGATTAAATAGATAGAATTACTGTCTTGTTGAATTACGCTAGTCCTTTCAGAAACAGATATTTCCATGCAACTTCCTTTTATTCTATTTAAAGTAGACAAGAAATGAAAAATGTTCAAATTCTTTTTTTCCTCTTGTTTTGGGACTGTATCCAAAACTCCTCACAAGCCAAAGAATATTTTTGTTTTGTCATTTTGCTTTGTTTTTCATCAATGTTAAGAAGATTAGATCCTTTTGGTAATGTTGAAATTAAGAAAAAATTACATGGACTTTAAAGGACAAAGACCTTGTAAGATTACATGTGAGATTTTTCTTGGTTTACAACTATTCCCTAGTTAATGCAAACAGATGTCATAAAAGTTGTACTGATCACATAAAAGCATATATGAGGTAGCAGTTTGGATTCATTATTAGCTTTACTATAGACAATTTCTTTTACAAATATTTCTCTGACAATGTCTATTACTATGTTAACTGTGATACATTAAGTAATGCAAAACCCCCACAAAATACAGTTCTTCAAATAGTCAAGCAGCAGTATGACAAATCCCAAATGCAGATTATTCCCCAAATTAATTACCTAATAAGAAGCATAAGCAAATGTATAGAGAAATCCAGTTTTTCACAGATGTATACGCAAACTGAAATCAAAAATTTACTTAACTAATCTTAATAATGAGTCTGTGATACACTAGAGACAAAGTAAGAAAAATCCTAATACTACTTCTATAGCCTGAAACAGCTTATATGCATTCTTTTCATATTTGAAGTAGGAAGCTGTAAGATACAGATGATGCTGGAAGTAAGCTTCCAGCAAAAGTCTGTGTCTGATAAGGAAGACTTCTACATCGAGCCAGTCCTAAGCTCTCAGTCTCTCCCCTCCTTATATTCCTTCTCTCTCTCCTTGCATAACTACACACTTATATGCCTCTGCGCAACCTTACTTTTTTTGATAGGAATTTGTCTGTAGAACAGAACAGGAAGAAATGTAGAACAGAAAACAAAGTTTGGATCAGCCCATTAGTGTGGAGGAAAAGATTTCAGGGACTAATAGAGCTGGATAAAATAATTCTGTTTTGATTGCGGAAAGCTTCTTACATTTTCCAGCTAGAATTACAGAAAAGTGAACTGTATCTAAAAAAATAACACTTGTACAGAAACAAAAAAATGTTTCTAACTGGACTCGAGTGGCCACTTTTTAAGTTCTTCACGAGCAGTGAACAACTGTCCAGCCATTTTAAATTTGAGAATTAACACAAGTTTTTGACACTGACTCTCTATTGACTCATCTGCAACAACAAATGGTAACATCAAATAATAATGTGATTATTCCCCATTATGTTTTTTGCAGGACTATTATGTCGTCATTTTGTGTCCTACTGAGATGGATGCTCAGGTCCGAAGGGTGTTACAAATCCCAATGTGGTCTCAGAGAGTTATCTATCTGCAAGGCTCAGCACTGAAAGATCAAGACCTGTTGAGAGCTAAGTAGGCAAATATTGACAAATATTTGTTTTTCATTTTTGTTTTACACATACTGTTTCATAAATAAGCTTGACGGACAACAAAAGCTGCTGTACTAGAAAGAAAGCACGGGTATTTAGAAAGCAGGGATCTTTGATGTAATTTGTTTTTCCTAATATCTGAAAATTTTAAAGGAACATACATTTGTAAGCTTTCATTTCACCAATTTTTTCTTCACTGTTTTTTCTTTCTCAGTTTCTGAAGGTATTGATAGAGAGTGCCTGTTTTAATGTCTTCTGAAAAAGCAGTATAGAAAATTCCCAAACTTCCAATAATGCTAGAATTTGTTTCTGTTTTTTGTGCTCAGATAATAAAGATAACAGTAGCTCTCCTGACTGATTAAAAGGGGTTGGGGGGGAGTGAAAAATTATCATGACCCTTTGAACAGTCTTGTTTTCTTACTAAGTTCAGCCTGGTAATAAAAGCGACGACTCTACTATACCTCCAGATACTCTTCCTTCAGGACCTTCCACTTACCTCACACTTATACGACTTCTAAAAAAAGCCTTCTGCCAGTTCTTATTGAATGACGTTACTCAAAACACATCAGTCAAACACCATTTCTCAAAAAAGAAAAAAATAAATAAAACAAACAAAAAAACCCACCTACCATTGCTCAATCATTAAAAGGTGGGAAGGAATTCACAGTGGAATTCACGTAGGAGGACTGTCTCTTCAAACTCTCCGAGAAAGGTGATACTTTGCAAATAACTGATTTAACTTACCTGCACTTCTCTTTATAAGAACTTACCTGTCATCACTTAAATTAATCAACTAATACAGATATTTAAAATTAAGCCAGTAACTCCGTACTTGTGTCACTCAGCCTTTTAAAAAATTATTCCCAAGAATCTAAACTGCGAGAAATCTTGTAAGCAGTGGTGTCTTTTCAAATATCTGCTACTAAAAAAAAATAGCTACTTTCTTATCTGTTTAAAATTTGAAAATACTGCAAAGCTTATTTTCAGGATTGCAAACTTTTTTTAAGGAGTGGTTCCTTGTTTTTCACTTTGTTGCTGATGTTAAGGAGGAATTCATATGGGGATTTGGCTGGCATTTGTTCTACACATTGAGAAAGGAAAAATTAGACTGTTCCCTAAAGATAATCATGAATTTCACTTATAATAACCTGGAGGTAGTCAACTGTGCTTTTTTCTGCAGAACATGTAATTGAATGTACCTGTCATAGAATAATTTTAAACCTCTCCTGAGGGAAGAAGCATAGTAGGAATTTAATAGAACATTTAATATGAACTATAACCCAGTACCTAAGATGTTTGCTATATTTCTTTTTAATGAGAACATAATGTACTGAGAAGATAGCAAGGGACATAGTAAACAACTTCTAATACAGTAATGGTTAACAACAACAACAAAATCAAGAAGTGTTTTTGTTTTTTGTCAAAATTTATACATACATTATACATGAAATGCAATGCCAAAATATTGGTGATAAAGGTCTCACCAAAAAAGGAAAGGAATACCAAAAGTTAGAAGACTAAATAATTAGTAAATTGTTAACTAAGGACTGTATTTTTCTTTCTAAGCCTTAGTACACAATCTGACTTTACAAAAAAATGATATTTGTTCTTGCTTCCTATCTTTGAGAGTTCCATTTTGGATTTTTTTGGTGTTCTCTGAACAGTGTTCACATGCCTAGCATTAACAAGAAAAAACAAATTCTATCCTGTGGTATCATACTGCTACTTATATTGTTCATCAGAACAACTAGAACTTTTGTATCTACTTCAGCATTTGAAATAGCACAGTAACTGATTAAACAGCTCTCATTCTTCATGCTATTACTAGACTGTGCTTGATTTCCTTCCCCTAGAGCTTTCTCCCAGTCTCTGTCATGAAAAACATTTTTTTTTCTCTCCTTACACTTATCCACTTCAGTGAACCCTGTACAAATCTTAATCCTCTTCATATCCAGTCATTTTTTTACTTTATACTTTTTTCCTCCCACAAATTTATCTTCAATATATAAAGCGCTTTTAAATTCTGTCATCCTCAAGCAGTGGAAGAATTGTTTTTCACAGATCCAGATTTTCTGACATACAAATATGGTGTAAAAGACAAAGCTTTTCCAACTGTTAGAACATTATTAAAATGTTTCTCTCATTAGGGTATTACTGTGTTTAACATAGTTGTTATTAGTGATTCTGTTGTCAAAATTCATGATATCCACAGAACGTTAATATCAAAGGGGTTGTTACCCTTGCAATATGTAGCTGAAGTGATTCAAGAAACTTCAAAAAACATTGGAGAAAATGGTGGATACAATCATTGAAGTTTAATTTTCTTATAAAATCTTCTATACATGCTGTTGGTCCCTCATCATCTCTCATCAAAACGTGTTTCATCACTCATTTTACTGAATTTTCTTTCTTACAGTTTGTTTAAGACCATACCTTCCTATTTATGTTCTCATGCTTCACTGAAACAACTCATACAGCTCCCATGATTTCTTCTAAATCAGTGATTAGAATCAGCCTCCTGTCCTCACTTCTCCACATCAACTGCACTTGACCTTACTATTTTAGATATATGGATTTGCCTTTGTTGCAATGTTTTTTCCATTTGAAATACTTCAATCTTCTGAAGCTTCCCTTGTTTTCCTGTTGTTTACTGCTTATGGGGAACCTACAATGACCTAACCTTATCCTTCTCTTTGTACTTTCTCTGAATGACCTCACACAAACCATGTATTTAATCACCATTTCTGTAGCCAGAAATTATGAGGTTGCCCAATCTATCTGGCTTCTCATTACAGATATCTATTCATCAACTTTATTTTAGTTCCAGGAAAATACATCCTATTTTTTTTTTTCTGCCCAAATAAAACCAGTATGCTATTGTTGGTCATAAGTTTGGGATCATCTTGTAAAGCACCCTAAGTAGACTGAAACTGCACGTTTCAAGTGTTTTCTCATAGAAGCTCTCACTTTAATCTCACTGAAACTATGCTTATGTTTTTAATATATATCATCTTACGTCCCTAAATACTTGTTTCAGAACACTCTGGAAATATTATTTATATAGTCCATTGTGTTACCTTTCATTGCAGTTCTTCCCTGGCTTACGTTTCTTTTCACATCAAAAAGTGACCCCTTATTCTCATTTAGCCTGCCACTCCTGGTCCTTACAGAGAAGAAACTCTCTGATAAGCCTATAATACTATTCTCTTTCACACAAACAATAGGTTAGCATACAAATCCCACTGTGATTTCACCTGTGTTCTCCCTTCAGTCTGGGATGAATTACTCAGAAACATCTACAAAGTAATGCTAGTATTGCATCATCTCTTCAATCTGTTCTCTGCTCTGATATCTAGTGAGATGACTTCCTCTCATGATAATTGTCTTTTTGTTCTGTGTGTACACAGCACCTAATAGAATAGGCTCTCAGTCTAAGCCTAGGGTCCCAATGACCTAAACTATTGCTAGCAACCACCACTTCCATTTTCTAGCAGCAGAGAAATCAAAGATTTCGGAATCTCAGGTCCCATTCCAGAGTTGCTGTAATAAGCAGATAATTTTCTCCAGCTTATGTCTCACTTTCCCCTTTCTCCAGCTTATGTCTCACTTTCCCCTTTCCAGGACCATTCCTGTCATGCTGTTTTTCTTTGCCCATAAAGTCCTGTCTTCACAAGCAGGTCAGCCAAGTCCCCATTTCTTTGCTTCCCTGCACCAGCAGGTGAAGTAGGACTCACTGGAGGATGACAGTAAGATCTGAGGCAAGAGTCAAAAAGCAAGCTTTCATGAGACTTTCAGTCAGAGAGTTTTTCCTCCCCACTTCCACCATCCCTTTTTACTACGTGACCTGTAACCTGTAGAGAACAATTAAGCATTAAAAGTTTTCAAAGAGGCCACGGACTGAAAACAGTTGATTTATTGCATACATACACAGAGATGTTATTTATTCCTAACACATTATTCTACCACATCTACCCATATTCTTTGCAAGTGCTATGGAAGACAATTCTATATCATAAGCCCCCTCTCACTTCTTCTTATCAATAATAACGTGTACATAATGTACACTTACACAGTATATGAATCGGTGCTATTTATTCATTTTTATACTCATGGCAGATAAATACTTATTTTGCAAAGAAAATGTGTTTGAGACCACCTTGTTGGTTTTTTTGTTTGTTTGTTTTTGTTTTTTTTTATGTTGGCACAGGTTCTACTGGCACTGGGGAAATAAAGTTTCCTAGAACATAGTCAAGAAGTAGTGATAGTACTGTGATGTAGTACACGAGTTAGACTAAACTTTCTCTGTATTCTGTATCTATAAGCACACAAGACTATAAACTGTGAAACACAAGTCAACAGGTGTTTTTTTTTTGGTATATAACAGGGTTTTCTCCCCCCTTCTTCTAGAATGGATGATGCTGAAGCTTGTTTCATTCTGAGTAGCCGCTGTGAGGTGGACCGGACAGCAGCTGTAAGTTCTGAAGAAATAACCAAGAATGAGTGTGCATGCTGTTTATGCTGTTATTGTGCCTTATACCCTCTCAGGAACTGAGGTTTGTTCTGTGAAGAGATTAAACACACAGATTTTGCATAAGGGGGATTAACTTCAAGTCATAAACCTACTAAAACTTCCATAAACGCTTCTATTTGAATGAGCTAGAATCTTTTCAATTAAAAACATTTGCTGGAAAAAATCAATTCATCAAAATCGTTCCTAGCAGATATATCAGGTTCAAAACTGTTTATAGAAAAGCAACATATCTTGCAATTTGCTAGAGATCGCACAGCTTTAACTGCTGAAGGTTCCATAACAAAGCCTGCTACTAGGGGTCCCTGGAGCTGGAAGCAACAGGGTTTCCAGCTTCTATCTATCAACCTTGGATCCTATTAGCTCAATTCTCAATTCTGTCACAGACCTGGGAGCCTTGAAATCCCAGAGCATTAAGATTCAAAGAAGTCATTATTCTGTGGCTCCAAAGGAGAATGGAGAAAGTCAAGAATTTCAGCTGTAAGACTCTTTGGGTCAATGTATTTTGAAGTTTTTAACCAAGATTTCACCTCCCACTCCGTTTTGTTGTTCAGATTTCCTTTTCACAGGGAATACAATTATCTATACTTTAAGTAGGAAATGGCACAAGTTTGTTTCTGTTTTTCATTTTGTTATATTTTACTACCCCCTAGAACTTTGAAATGAAATGGAATTTATTTTCTACACTGTTCCAGCTCTAGGCCGTACTGAGGATTTCAGTAACGTAGAACACAAGGTTACAGTTTGTCACTGAGCTGGTGCTATTTCATCTAAGTCCATCTCAGAATCAATCTACAACTGATTTTTTTACCCTGCTGTGCATAAGAAGCCAACAAACTGTAGGAGTGCCTTGGATCCTCTCCTACTTTTGACAGCTGTTGAAATAAAAGATGCATCAGGGAGATCCCTTACCAGAACAGCTGTTGTTACTCGTGTGATTTTTCAAAGCCAATGAGACTTTATCTCTCCAGCTAGTCCTCAGCAGAGGATCTGCTCATTTTGCCATAGTTGCCAGTGACAGTTCATTACTTCCTATTTTCTTAGTTAAATTCCACTGCCAAAGTTTATTCTGCTTCTGATCCGTGGATTTCAACAGCAACTCAGAAGTACAATAACAGGTGACGAGCAGTTACTTGATAAAAATTGTTTCCTTTTTCACTTAAAGAAGTAGGAATTTCAATAGTCAGACCAAGAATTTGTCAGCTTTCCAAAGTCTCCTACCAGCAGCTCTCTCTATTCTGGCAGGAGAGAGCTTTGCCAAGTTTAATTTTATCAAATGCTATTTCAACATCTCAGACCAAGATGTAAGCTGCTCTTCTGCTATAGAATGCAAGACACACATCTGTTTCACACAGTAGGATGCACCTCTTAAAAGTGAATTCAATGGGCTTTCTACATCAAATTGCTTCAGAAAACTAAGGTTCCTGAAACAGTGCATCTGCTATTTTAACCTAATAAAGGATGGGAAAAGTGTCTTTTAAATTATCCTGTAGATAACTCAATAATAGGTTATATAAGTATATGAAAGATGAGTTCTACTGCCAAAAGCTTTTTTCCAGTGCTTTCTGAAAATTTGGAGATTGCTGATTTCAAGGTCGCACCTTTTCTTCGCATCTTTAATCAAATGGAGTGATACTACTATACTGCTAACCTAAGTGTGGAGTAAGAAAAAAAAAAAACAATACTATTCAAAACTGTATTAAATCAGTCTTAGTTTGAGTTATGATGATGTAAATTCCCACTACATCCTCTTTAAAACTTGAAGCTTTTAACACATGAACTTAAATATCACCTCTATATTTATCAGCATCAGTATAACAGGTAATTTTTGATCACTGTCTGCAAGTTACTGTGTGGAATGCACACGGAAGAGAATGTATTTTTTTTCCCACATTTCCCAAAGATGCATATATTTTATAAAGAGGATAGAAGCATACTTTTGCATTAGCTGTCTCTGTTTATAATATATCCATATATGCTGCCTTTTTACATTGGAGAAATATCAAAATTTTAAAGTCACTGCAATATAGTATAGAAATTACTATAAACGTAAAACAGAAAGCCAACAGTTCTGCAGTAATGTCAAATTGTGATGAAGCTACAGAATCAGTGCAAACAACTCTAAAGACTGTTTTTCTGACACTTTTTCTATTTTCCTGACACCTTTTGCATAAAAAAATAGATGACATCTGCAATAATACAAATTTTCAAATCAGTCCCCAACCCACCCCCAAACCTCTTCTCTGTAGTGTATCACTATAACCTCCATGTATGCCATTACATAGCCTTTTGTTACTTCTCAACTGCTGTTGGCGTTTTATTCCCTTGAGACTAAACAGGGAAAACAAAACAAAACAAAACCAAACAAATGCAAACCAAACCCACAGTACCCTAGGGATAAGAAGTCATATAATACAGAAAAAGTGAAGAAAATGTGACTGCACACAAGGAAATCTTATAGCATGGTATACCTAAGATCTGAAATTTCCTGAACAGACACAGCACTCCTACATCTTTCATGAAAAGGTTAACATGAAAAACATGAAATGAAGCATTTTACCATCCTCAACAGGTCTTTCCCTTATAATTTCATTCTAGTATTTCTACTAGAAAAACTACTTGCTACCATCTCAAGTGACATTAAAATATTATGGTTTGAAAACATCAATTATGTTCTGTTCCAGGCAGAGATTTTCCCTTGTGTTCATCAGTCTGAAAGCTTTTCTTATTGCTGATGCTGCAACCATAATGAATCATTCTTTACATATTATCTTTCCAAAGCACCAATTTCATGACTAGGCAAAGCATTTCAACCCAAATATTGTTTCCTACATGCAGCTCTCAATTATTCCTTTCTAGTTCTGAAATAAATAAAAACTGATCACTAATACATTGAAATTACCCATAGTTCATGAAATTCAATATAGAATGCATTAGCACATACTTTTCTTTCATGGAATAACAGTATTCTTCCTGTCATTAACTCACTCTTGACATGTGGTAACAAGTGGGAAAAACTATCAGGCTAGGAAATCTGTTGGAATCCTTCGGTTGGTAGCTGGCTGTAGATAAGGATATGTTTGGTGTAGATATATACATATTTAGATTTATGTAATAAGCATAATATTATTTATATAATATAAATAATATATAGATATTATATTATATAATATATATATATAATATAATAATATAATTATATATATAATATAATAATATAATAATATCTATATATATAGATATTATATTATATATATATATATTATATAATATAATATATATATATTATATATTTTTTATATATATTTATTTATTTATTTATATAATATTATATAACATTATTACTTAGATGTACATAAACATCCACACCAGCTGGTGTTGCACGTTTTAAAGTTAGTTTTCTGCGATGGAAAGTTTTTTATTTTCTAATGGAACAATATTATTTGTATTATATTGTTATCACCTCACACTCTTTATTCTAGGATCATCAGACCATTTTAAGAGCATGGGCAGTTAAAGACTTTGCCCCAAATTGTCCTTTGTATGTACAGATACTGAAACCTGAGAATAAATTCCACATCAAATTTGCAGGTAAGTGTAAGATTTCAGCCATTTGAACCACCTGTTAGTGATTAGCAGCTTGTTTCATAGATGCACAAGCAAAGTCATTTTACCTAAGCATATTTACATGTTAGAACCACATGAACAGTACAATATTTTCAAGTACCATGGGCTTATATTGTAAAATTTCATTTTCATATTAAACTTACTTATAAGCTTTTTGAAGATTACTGTATTTATTACTCTACTATGTTATGTAATATACCATGTTGAATTATTTGAGGTCCAGGTAGGTTTTCATCCTGCTACATTACCCATGTCTTGAAACAACTCCTTACTTAAAACTTACTGTTACCAAGGCGTGTATGAAATGATCTGCTTAGAAAAGGCCACATTTAATTCAACAAGCAACTGAAAAAAATCTTTACATTGGAGTGTTTTCTTTTTTTCTAGGTCATGTGAAAAACACGATTTTCTTTTCTTTCAAATGTTTTGGAAAGAGAAAAATAATTTAATTCTATATTCAGTAAAATTGTTATCTTGGAAACTATGATATAAAATGCAAAATGATGTTAAGAAATCCAAACAAATCCTCTCTCATAAGAATGGATTACAAGCTCTAATCTGGCAAACTTTCTCTGCACTATATATGTGGATCTCTGTGTCTCTCAGTATACATAGAAACACACGGATGTTCACACACACACATGTATATATTCATGTGCAAAAACATATCAATACATTTATGATGACAATTCATTTTGCCTACCTCTGGAAAAATATTACTATGAAGTAGAAGGAAAGCTTTCCTTTTCAACTGTAATTTTGAAAATTCAGTTTTCTTGAAGGATATTCTAATCAAGAAAAGATTGATGATTCATGCAAAATTCAAAAAAACTCAATGGAAAAATATTAGTCTCCTTCATCATCCCAGAATGTGGTGAAAAAGTAAATTTCAGCGCAGAACAATTCCAGAGCAACATTTAAAGCTGTAATTTTAAAAGCTACTGCATTTACCACAAGGTTGGAAAGAAGGAAAAGAGCATCAATAGCAGTCCCAAAGTTATAAAAGTGTAATCTTAAAGTATGAGATGGCACAGCAGAGAATAAGATTCATGCTGTGATAAGAATGATGGTGGTTTTTCATCTCTCCCTTAAAACCACACAGCACAAACTCTTCTCCCTAGCCATGGCCACTTTTCTTTAATTTGTTGACTGTTAATTTGTTGTTCCTAATTGTATTTTTAAGAGAGTTTCATTATTCTTAATGTCTTGTCTCTGTAGGAGCTTATATGTAACTAGATTTGCAAAACAGAGAGCTTTTTTAATATCTGTTTAAATCTCAGGTTAAGAATTTGGACCATATATTAAAACAAACAAAACCTACAAAACCTTCTTTTGTAAGATTTCCTTCCATTGGATTGAACTTAATCAATCTGAATGTTCTGTATATCCTGAAGCTCTTGAGGAAACCTTATATATTCTATGCTTCATTAGCCCCCTCTAATATTAATAATAAAAGCACTGTATTATAGAACAATATGTATATATATAGCACCTTACATCTCAAAATAATTTTGAACTGATCAGAGGGATCACTGCATCCATTTCCACACACACTCATTTCAAATCATATTGTTTCTTTCATACAATTTCACTGTACAAACAGAGAATTATAAGCCTTCCTGCAAGATTAATTTAATCTTACTGATTACACAGGAAATTTTTAATGCAGTTTTAAATTTGGCCAGGTTACTAGCAACACCAGATGCTAATCTACCACAAATAGTTGGCCACTGATATTAGAATCATCAGAGTAGCATTTGCTTGCATACCTTTTCCCAAGAGGACTCTTTTGGTTACTAATCTTGTCCAACTTGCTTCATTCTAAGATACATATCCACTGGAGGCTGCAGGCTATAGCAATGTCCAGAGTCCTTACAAATAAAATTTGTCATAACCATTGGCAACATTTTTCTAAGTGTTTTTCCTGTTATGATTCAAGACTGTTTTATTACTGCCTTAATGCAAGAGACTTCCTTTAGATTTGATACTCCTCTAAAAAATGACTCCTTTCTTCTGAATGTTTCCCAAACCAATATTGAGCATTTTTATGAACCTGAAGTACTCAGTAATATGATTTCTTCTTCTACTACTACTTTGTGTGTGTGTGGTTTTTACGTGCAAGTTTACAGAACACAGCTCTCAAAACCAAAGTTTCTGAATTTAGGAAAAAGAAAAAAATCAGGAAAGTTCTCCTAACAAAAAGTTTCATTTTAAACTAAATTGAAAATGTCTAAAACACTCAACATCTTATATTAACCAGTCATCTGAGACTGTATTAGACAATCCTGAAATGTAGACCCTAATTGCATTGTCCCAAAGAAAATCTCCAGGATGCTACTCTGTCTTGGATAGAAATAGTATATAGGACAAGTAATTATTATGATTTATTTCCATCCAGTAGATAACATTTTGATGTTTTTCCTCTCTTTAATAAGAGTACAAGAACCCATTCTCATCATCACAGCAAGGGAATGGAGACACTTAGCACTGGGTAATATGGCCTGTCAGAAAGACATGTTTTCCTGTCTTTTCACTTGATGCCAGAGAGACACCCTTGCATCCTGTGTTTTCTCTGCTATTTTTTGCCACGGAGTTTTAAATAACTACCCTTATTTAAAATGGTAGCTTACACTTAATACAGTGGAAATATTTCTCTGTACTTGGGTACTATGTTTCAGTGGAATCTGAAAAGCATGTGGCATAAGGGTTTATCTTAGTAAATTTCTTGGTGTGTTCAAGGTGTGAACACACTACAAATATGGTGACCTGAAAGTTATCAGATGGTCAAGGAAAGACTATATCATCATTCCTAACTATTTTTTGTCTTAGCTGAAATGCTTTACTTCTTAGCTATTTCCAATATCCAAATACTTTCACATGTCCCATTTTTCTTTCAGTAATATTGCATTTTCCTTCACCTGCAGTTGCATATGATTTTCTTAATCTCCCAGTTTTTCCTGCAAACTCACAGGGTTACAAAAGACTACATACCCTTAATGCATGCATCTGCTGTTGCATTTCAGCACAAACATGAAATAAAGTGAAAGTTATCCACAGCAGAGCAGTACATTTAATTCAGAGACTGGAGTACATTATATATTTTATTATATATTATAATATTATATATTATAATATTATATTATAATATTATATAAATAAGCAGTACATGTAATTCAGAGACTGGAGTACATTATATATTTTCTGAGTTGTACTAATAACTTCATATATTTTCTAGAAAATAAATTAATCATCTTTACGTTGAATATTCAGAAATTATATATAATCACAGTTCCAGGAACAGGAGACATATTTTGTCATTCTGTATTTATTCAAAATGCACTAACAAATTAGCTCGTATTGGTGAAGTCTGACATTAAACCTTCAGTGGTTTATTATGAAAGAACACAGTCCAGATTCACTGAAATGGATATTGAATGCATCTGATGATTAATCTATCCAACCACAGATAAAAATAGTGTAGAGATAATGGATGGACATTTTTATCTATCTGGTCTGGTAGTGATCATGTTAACTTATCAAATTGACAACAGCATCATTTCTGAGAATAGTTATGTCAAGTCTAGGACATTCTTACTACCTGGATAATGCTGCAGACATAAATCATTATTTTGGGTATGTTTTATCTTCAATAACATTACACAAGTCATAACTCACTTCATGGCATTATTACATCTATTTGATAGACAGCAAATTTTCTGTCAAAATATATTTTCACAAAAACTACAATTTCCCAAATATTTTTAATGGCATATTTCTATAGTATAAATACAATCAAAATACTTCTGTTTGGTAATTTGATTTGACATCTTTAATATCCAAGATAACTTCCAGTTTCTTCCTCTGCTTTACTGCACAAAGAATGAGTAATATGTTGATACCAGTAGCCAAAGTTACAGATTTGACCAATGTCCCAGACTCGAGAACTGTTACCCAACTTTTTCCTTACTCAATTTAAAAGAGGAAGCATTAAATACAGTTCTGCATAACCCTCACCACAGCTCCACAATAAGAGTCCTGAATGTAAATATAAAGCACAATGACAATGTAGGCAAGTTATGATCTGTCAAATAATTAGAGAAATGAACAAGTTATTTTTGACCTTGTTTGTGTATTACATGAGACCTTAACTCCGACCAGAGAAGAGAAACCCATAGTACCTCTTCCTGATGTTTCAAATGACTACAGAAAAGAAGGAAAAGAAGAGGGTTTATATAGTACAAAATATTCATTTGAATAATGTAAAAATGCAACTTATGAAGGGGAAGAGAGATATGAGATAATTCATGAAATAAGCACCACTGAAATAAGACAACAGCATAAATTAGGATAGAAAGAAGTAGTGGGCAATTTTTTCCAGTTGTATTTCTTGTCCTGTAAGTCAACACCCATAGTTAGGATAGAAGAATAATTTAGCACAAACCTCATTGTTCTATGAGTAGATTTCCAGAAATGAACTGAAAATGGTAATAAGCATCCCATAAAGTCAGACACATTTTAACAATAGACACATTTCTAGAATAAGACAAGATTGGTTGCAATTATTTTATATTGCTTATATTTGCCCAACCAGGAGCAAAACATGACCCTAATATAGAGAAGAATCAACATGCAATTCTATTCCTTAGCACTTTGGATCCTTATCATTTTGGATCTACAGAATTTTACACTATTGGATTTCTTAAAACCTAGTTTCCAAGTGTGTTATGCGAGTCTGAAGAAAAGGCAGATGAAGCTGAAAAATGAAATTCAGAAGTAAATCTGATTCCTGCTTTGGGATTTACTAAGCCTAATGTTACTGTTTATAAATTAATATTTTACATAAATTTCATTTTTTTCTTAAATTGCTGAACAGGAATCAAGAAGGGCTGCACTATTGTATAGGCTGGAAATGGTGGTTTTTTAATTTAATTTTTATTTTTTTTACTAATGAATTCGAATAATGTTTCTAATAATGGTAATAAAAGTGCTGAAGAACCTTTTGTATGACGTTGTTGAAGTATCTTTGAGAATATCTATAGCTTCAAAACACTTCTGAAGTAGGGTATTATTTTCATACCCATTTTACAGATGCATTAAGGGTAATGAAGGACATGAGTGACTCACAGTCAAAGTCTATAAGAGAAGTGGAATTAGTCCTATAAGTTCCATTGTCGTGAACCCTAATTTAAAAGCACTTGAGAACACCACGTGCATTCCTTACACATCGGTGATTAGCATGACTACTGTAGGACAGCGATCTGTTTGCTGAGAGCTATATTTTCTGTTAGCCTAACATTTTGCATAAAATCCATCCAGAAAGTCCCTGTATACATTAGAGAGTATAGGACATATGTAGGATTTAAGTGAGATATACTTTTCATTTGCATTGTGCCATCCATGACTGACTCTTTCATTTATATATAGTTAGGTCAACATATACAGTTTTGTTCAATACAAGATTTGAAATAACAGCTGATGAAGTAATTTCTCTGTATATTTTTCTTGTGTCTATTTTCAGAAGTATTAGGTGTATTACAACAACATTATAAGGAAAGACCAAGGGGAGTTTATTTGGTAAAGCTCTATACAAATGCAAAAATATAAAGATTCCTTATTCAATATTAGGAAGTCAATATTAGTTTTCATAAATCTTTGCTATCTGAGTAATGGTAATGGAATAGTGATATTTTATCTAAGTAGTAGACTATGCCTTACCCTCTCAAAATCTCTAGTTTAAAATTCAAATAGATGTATTAGTGTCACATGGTCAACTAAAAGAATACATTTCTGTCTGAAATATTTTCTGCAGCAAATACTTCATTGCTATAATTGAAATACATTTAGGGGAAGAAAAATCTCAGTTTGTTCTACTTTGACAGTGTCTTCATATAACTAGATTCATTCTTTCCCTATGGCATTCAAATAGGTCTTGATCTTCTGAAAATACAAAAATGAATTCCTCCTTTCAATAGCCAATGATTCTGTTAGTGAAAAGTGTCTAGAAATTAAAAAATAATAATAATAGAGAAGGCATACAAGTGCCCTTGTTGTTTTCAGTAAGAGGCATGCTCATAGCTACACTATAAATTCTGGCTGGAGAATAGCTTATTTATAGCACTAAGGTGGTTCTAATCATTTTGATGATATGTTAGTGCAGTTAGAAGTAGAGTTATATAGTCATCTCAGATCCAGATGGGATTATTTGAATTTACTTACTTTTAGTCATCACTTTTTATATGGCTTATATTCATCATATACAACCATCATCTGTACCAAGTGCAGATCATGCTTATCAGAAGCGAATACTGCTCCCATTGAAAGTGTGAATCTCCCATTTAGTGTGAATCAAACACTAAATTCAGAAGAAAAGAAAATTACTTAGCATGCAATAAATGTCTTACTGACCTTTAAGATTCTACAATGAATGTAAGTTTAATTAAATTGTAAGGTTTGTGCTTATCCCTTTTTATATCTGTTTTTCTACTGTCAGGTTTGCGTGAATGCCATTAAAGAGTAGTATCTATTTCCTTTTCATGTTATCACCAGCACTGGTGAGCATTTAACTGTGATCTGAATTGTAAGCAGTAGTCATCCAACCTTAATAATATTCATCCAATACTGAAAGCATGTGCAGAAGATTTGGCAGTTTTAAATATAAGCCAATGTAGGGAACAAAATTTAATGCCTCTCTTGCTTTCTCTTATCCATTCCTCTCCTAAATTCCATTAAAAGGCAGAAAAAAATAGACATGTCTATAGTACTGTTCCATCACAGCAAGTATTACTGTGCAGTACTACTGTGCAGACATACTTTCTTGTAAGGACTCTCAGAAACAAAGCACAATTTTGTAATTGCAAAACCCAGGCAAGGACTGGATTAAAAAAAAAATAAATGAATAAAGTAAAGTTGTATGAAACAGTAAAAGAAAACACAACCACCTTCGCCTAGATGATAAAAAGGCAGCAGCTATCAGCTGCTTCTAGGAGGTCGTACTAGTCAAAACTACAACATACATGCAAGTGCAGTGCAAACATCCCAGAGCTGCTGTCAAATAGCTGGTCTGTAAGCCAGCACAGCCTATCTAATTGATTGGGCAGTCTTGCACTGCAGTATCCTACGTATATTATTTTCTGAACAAAAAAGTGCATCTCTGTACCATACTTGACGTCTCTATACGAGTTCATAGAGAACTGCAGCAGGTACAAAATTTATAAACTAGATTATGTTACAAGGCCTACTCATACGACCAATGTAGCAAGATAGTGGAAAAGCAGATTCACAGAGCTATTGCATTCTCTCCATGCATAGCTGTGGTGAAAGTAGAAACTGGATGCAAAATTAACTTCAGTCATACAATCTGAGAGACAGCATAGATGGGGCAAATCATCTTAACATCTTGAACCCCTCCAGGTGCAAGTGGATGCTGAATATCTGAAGGCAAATTCTTGTCTTGTCTTCAGCATTTTCCTATACAAGGACAGGAATTGATAATTGTGTTCAATGGAAAACATTTTTTATCTTTTTTCCCCCCCACAGATCATGTTGTGTGTGAAGAGGAATTCAAATATGCTATGCTAGCTCTGAACTGTATATGTCCGGCTACCTCTACATTAATCACACTGCTGGTTCATACATCTAGGGGACAGTAAGTATATACTACCATTATACTACCACAGCAGTCTTCAGACCATGTTTATATTTTCTACACTTTAAAAGCATTAAGATAATTTACTCAAGGTATTATAATTTCAAAGAGATTTCCCCTTCCCCCACTCCAACTACTTAACAACTTCTTGCATCTATTGTGCACTACTTCCACAAAGGAAAATGTTCATTGAGTTCAAACAAAATTTCTTTTGATAATATATAAAATACCATATTCTATTAATTGTGTGTACATTAAGCAGTAAGCAAACATACACTTGAAGAGGTAGGTGGATTTCAACATTACTACCACACTGCTGGAAGGGGTACAGAATTACAGTACCTCTACAGACTGCAAAATCACAGTAGAAATTCTTTATATTTATTAAAATAATTTTACCATATCTATTACATTTCTGTTACACTACAGTCTTGGAATAATTAGATGTTCCTATTAAAATGTTATGGCGAGAGAGAAGCATTTAAAAGTAAATCTCCAAATATATCTGTAGAAGTGGAATACGTGCATACAGACTGTACATTTGAGAGCAGTAAAATGCATATTTTTTTTCCAAGTAATCACAAGCCCAGTAATATCTTGATATTCACTAGCAGAATTATTTAACCTTCTGTATGGCATTTGCAGTATTCCCCTATGCCAAAGATGGGGAACACTGAAATTATTGCTACTACCACCAACAACAAATAGTCAAGATTTTAATGGCACTGTCTGTACTAGAATCTGTTAATAGGCTAACAGCAAAATTCTGTTTCCATGTCTCCTGAAAATCATGGTGACACACATTCTGTATCTGCCCACTTTTCATTACATGACATGCAAACACAGAATACAGATCCGCTTTAAAATATTCCATATTATTTTTACATGAAAGAAGAGTAGTGTTAACATCAATCAGAGTTTTCTAGCAGCATAAAAACTAATATATGAAAAGGACTCTGACTCTGTTTTCTACTGCACCTTACAGTATTAGCATTTCTAGCACAGGTATATTGATCCCCAGGCATAGAGATTCCCAAATAAGATTCAAAAAGTTGTAATAGAATGCAAAGGTACTTAGTACTTCTTTTGCAGTAAAAAATAATTGATGTAAAAAAAATAATTGTTTTTAAAGTAACCTATTTCTACTCTGGCCATAAACTTTCAAAACTGGTTATTGTATACTAGGAGTAAGAAAAATATCTGTTGTGCAAATAATTATTAGTATTCCTTTGAATCCTATTTGCAGAAACATACAAACTTGCTGGATGAGTACAAAAAGACTTTAGTGAAAATGTTTAGTTGTCAGTCTTATACTTTTAGACAGCACTCATCAGAGCAATTGATTTCAAATGGGTTCCCAAAATACTGTCAAATGGCAAACTTCGGATAGCTTAGAGCACGTGTATTAGTGCTGGAGTAATTGCTTGAATAGATGTGACTATTCTTTAAAGCCCAACTGTATTTGTGAAAGTTAAAAAAAGGTACTAGAAGGAAGTAACTTCAAAAGTATTTCAAATTTGAGTAGTCTTGACTTCACAGTGCAAGAACTAGAAAACTTAAAAGATCAAGTATTCCCCTTCCAACATGTCACTAAGCTTTCCAATTTAATGTTTTTGCTGCTTCCCGTCATTCCATCTTTACATGCATTAAAAAGCACATAATTCCCAGACTGGTGTTTTTTTCTTCACATCTTATTAAAGATGATCTTCAATAATGAGAATTTTAACCATCAATATTTAACAAGTATGTGTTTATTGAATATAATATTCTGACTTTAAAGGACCATAATCACATATATTTGAAAAAAAAATAAATTGTGTGGGTGAAAATAATTGCTTTTTCCTGGATTATCCCTTAAATGTCCTGATTTTATCGTTCTAGAGGAAAAAAACCTTTTAAACATGCCTTCTTCATGAAAGTCTCCTGAGATTTCAACTGACTTTGAAGTGCATGAAAAATGTTGGTAAAACAAATGACTCTGCACTTCATTGTCTCCAGGGGGTAATGTGTTTTCAAAATAGCTTTAGGTTTTTAGCTTCATCTACAGGTTGACATTGTATTGCAAACATAAAATTGCTTTGGATTTGGCTAATTAATAAGCCAGATTATTTTTTTTAGATTTTATATCTATTTTCCAGGTTAAGCAATAGGTAAGTGAACTAATTTTTAAAATACCTGCCCAATGACCTTAATTTATGCATAAGAAAAATGATGTCAAATGAACGTTTGAGTTTATCTCAGATAAGTAAAAAGATTTGGTGAAAATTGATTATATAAACTAAAAATTAAAAATTTAACTATACATGCATTTGTATCTGGACAAAATACTAAACTGTATCTTAATAATGAAAAGTATTGGATAAACAGACTTCTAATCTTAATAGTGAAGCCCTTTCCCTTAACATTGGTTCCTGTCTCATTATCTTTTCATTACGCCATTTTGTTTACTACCAATAACTGTATTCAACTTTCAGTAGGATGTGAGGTATAAAATCCCTGTAAGCAAGACTTACATGAGAAGAATGGAGTTGGATTATGGGGACACTGCTTCCAACTTTGGATAATCCTTTCAAGTCTATTCAAAATCTCTGGAATGATTTTCTTAATGATTAGTTTTAGCTTTCACAGAATCATCTAGGTTGAAGACACCTCCAAGATCACCTAGTCGAACCTCTGACCTAACAAGTCCTCCACTAAACCATATCACTAAGCTCTATGTCTAAACGTCTTTTAAAGACCTCCAGGGATAGTGACTCAACCACTTCTCTGGGCAGCCCATTCCCCATATTTGCTGGCTTACAAGTTTAGTAACTTTAATGCAGTGATTAGCAGTGTTTGTTCAAACTGATATCACAGATAAGAATTTATTCAGAAAGTAGCTGGATTGATAATTTAGAACTGTGAAGTAAAAAACTGCTACTTGCTACTCAAAAAAATAAATAAATGTTCCCACCCTTAATCACCTCTTATAGTGACAAAGCTTTATCGTCTCTTTCCTAGATCTCTTTTTGATACAGCCTTCTCTTACCACTCAAAGTAGGAATTTTTTCTCTGAAGTCTTTAGATCTACTATTCACAGGAATGTGTAGCTCTGGTCCTTGCTGAGGGAGATGCTGGAAGCATCTAGCCACAGCAATGCTCCTGGCTGCCAGGAACCAACGTGTCTCTTTAGCACAGCTTTTAAAAAGAAAGATACTTCCAAAAACCGTCACTGCTCTATGTCAGCATTTCCTAACCAATATTTATCAGAGAACTACAGAATGTTTAAATGACTAATTTTAAATGATCATCAGTTTATTAACTTAGAACATTGGAAAAAAAGACACCATACGGAAATAAGTAAGGTTAGAAAAATAAAGCAGATCAGAACTAGAAATTGCTGACAAAACTGAATAAGAAGTAATCATGAATAGTGGGTTAATTTTAAGTTCAGCTATAACTGGGTCCAGTTACATACTGAAAGAAATCATTTGTAAGTGCACTTGCAAACTGTACACTGCTGTTCAATTTTTACCAAGTTCAGATGACTGCCTATGTCTTTCCATTCCACAAGGAATGGCTCCTCTTCTTCCATACTATTTTAGACACATCCAAATGGAGGAGATTATCAAGACACTGACCAATTCCTTGATTTTTGTCATTTCCCTGGTGAAAATGAAGGGAGAATATGACCACTGTCACATTCTAGCTTCTTGTTATTTGTTAATTTAGCAAAGTTAAATCTTAACATGCATGGCTTATAATTTCATGGAATTGAAGAGTTCATTGACATTTCATTTGTTAGAAGAAAAATTGTCCCAGGTATTTGTACTTTTACAAATGAACTGCCAAGTAATATATCTACAGGTAGACACAGGAAATCCCATATTTGTGGTATTTATAACATTTATTATATTTATATTTATAAATGGTGTGACACAAGTAATATAAGCTCTTTTCTGATAATCATGAAGATAAGTACACTAGGATAATACTGGAAACTGAAGGCAATAAATAGCGGCAGAACACAGACAAAAATAATTATTCTGTATTATCCTAATTAGAACGATAACACAATAAACAGTAAACAAAAAGAAACACATACAAAAAGACATCTTGTCTACTGATATAAATATGTGAGGATGTTAGGGAAAATGTTCACTTTCTAATCAGTGTTGACTGCTTAAAATTTAGGGGAGGTTTGCTGCTGCTTATGTGAACTGGCTTTCCTCTTTAATACTACTTTTCACATTAACCAGACTAGATTGCCATCCTAGCTGTTTATGGAACTCAAAACCTCTGTTGAGAGAGATCAAAATTCTACCTTTACATGTATTCTTATTTAAAATCTTATTATTGAGCTTAATTATTAATCTTAACATTTACCTTTAAACATTTCCAATCTAGTAATAGAACTCTAATATTTTTTGTATTATGATACAAAGAAGAAAATACCATTTCTGACTTGAACTTCACGTGATCTTTACAGAACAGCACCATGGGAAGCTTTTCGACAACTAACTGGAACTAAGCAGACTTTAAGCAGGTAAACATTTCATAGGGGGTTAAGGGAAATATGAAACAATTTTCTTCTGAAATTACAATCTATTCTACATGTAACACACTGATTTTTAATATTGTTTTACTTATTTCCATTAGCCCTGAAACAAACTGTTTCTATGCTGAGGGTGGAGAAAAAAAGGTAAACTGAAGAAAACAGAAATTGTGTCAAAATACTGAAAATTCACAGGAAAGAAAAACACAGAGCATGTTTGCCAGTTATATATCCTGATACAGATAGGGATATATGCATCTATTATATCAAGTAAAGCTCATGCAGATGGAACCCTGTTTCCATGTAAAACTTCATAAAGGAAGAGGCTCACAGAGGCCCCAAGTTTGCAAGTTTTGGTATTATCTAAGGTTTGGAACATTTCCACTAACGGTTCACTTGGATAAACGAAGGTTAGCTACATATACTAAAGGTGATTAAAGGTGATACCCTTAAGGTGATTAAAATAATCATTCCTTTTTTTTTTTTTTTTTTTTTTTTTTTCCCTAGGAGAAAAAGGGTATATACTTATAATAGTATACAAAGCACCAGTAACTAAAAATGTTTTTTGGGTAAATGCTGAAGATAAACTGAGAACTGAATGCAGAAAAAATATCTCTTTTATATATAAATTGATATAAGCCAAATGGGTCTTGCCTTTGTAAGTTATTTGTAAATGATTCTTTACCTTCTTCAAACAGAACCCAGGCAAACTCTCAAGGAGCATCTGAAGCAACTGCCTTTATAAATAGAATGAGCATGCTGTTGGTTTCACTTGTCATCTTTCGATTGCAGTGAATCTACTTACTGTGGTGTGAATTTAAACTAATTCTGCCATATTTTTCCTGATACTGAAGCACATAATCTTATAGGCCTATTACCTAGCAAAAAATGCACTTGAATTCATTAAAAACAATCTCTATACTTACGGCATCACCAAGCTTTGATCTCAGATATTTCTTTCAGATTAGCCCATGGGACTTTTCCAATATACATCTGTAGTTTCTACAGCCAAGTGATAATGCTCTGAGATTAATAAGAATTTTACGTTGTTTTAAATTATTCCTTTTATTGGTATATTTCAGAGAGAGTCCGCAATCATCAGAACAATGGCAGAAAATGTATGGCAGATGCTCTGGTAATGAAGTGTATCATATTAACCTGGAAGAAAGTACTTTTTTTGCTGAGTATGAGGGGAAAAGCTTCACATATGCTTCTTTCCATGCACATAAAAAGTATGCTTTTTTTTTTTATCAAGTATTAAAAATGTAAATAATAATTTGTTTTGCCCAAAATGTACCTCTGCATTTGAAGGTGCAATATTATACATTACTCTGTTTCTGGAATTAAATACACTAAGATGTTATTATACTAATAAGTATATATACACTATAGTATATATATACTATAAGTATATAATTAATATATTATGTATTAGTGTATTATTATATTATACTAAAATATTTCATAGATATTCTTCTCTATATTACAATTGGTCAGGAAAATCTTGTGTTGTTATTTAAAGACAACTCAGTCTGAGAGATTAGAATATACAGAATAAGCCTGACATGACAACCAGGAAGAATCATACCTTTGAGACAGGTTATATCAGAACACCAGTCTTTTTTTTTTTTTTTTTTTTTTTTGATTTAGGAGTCAGTTTCCTGAAACCAAAATTTGGTTTCCTTCATGGCATGTTCGTTTTTGGAAATTAGTCAATTTTAAGGTAGTACTTGCTTAATCCTGGTGATTTTTCAAAATAAAAATATTTTGTTCAGTCAGATTGAATCTTAATGTTAACATATATTATGTTCCAGATCATTTATTTTTATTCAGTACTGCTATGTAAGTTGAATATACAAACTGAACATAAATCATTTATATTCATATGTATTTAACAAAATTATCATATACCAAACCCTAAACACTGATTTTATTCTCATACTTAGCGTGAGAAAAAGATTTTTTAGCTTTAACTCCCTTTTCTATCACTAATCAAATAGATTTTTAGAAGTGAATGGCAAAAATGAATTCTGAAAATTGTTTCCATTACATGTGAATAATGGAACAATTTAACTTGATGAATACTTTTTCATGTCATGTATCCATTCTTATATTAAATATTTTCTCAGAAGGGACTATTCATCTCGTTGAAAAATTAACTGAAACAGTATTAGAAGAATACTCTGGGGATTAAGAAAAATGTTGGATTCAGATGCCAAGGGATTCATCAGCTCATAAAAACTGCTTGATCAGAAGTGGCCTATTTAGGAGATAACATTTTTCAAATTTATTTGTCCTCCAGAACTATACAAAATAGCAAATATACTGAAGACTCATTTCTGACAGTGGAAATTCTGGTGTGTACAGGACTATGCAAAATGAACCATGCCTTTCCTTTTCTAATTAAGGTTTGGAGTCTGTCTGATTGGTGTTAGAAAGGAAGATAACAAAAACATTTTGCTGAATCCAGGTCCTCGCTATATCATGAGTTCTACAGATATATGCTTTTATATAAACATCACCAAAGAAGAAAATTCTGCTTTTAAGAACCAAGATAAGCATAGAAAAAGACATGAATCAAAATTATCGTATCATGGAGCTTCTAGGTTGCCTGTACACAGTATAATAGCCAGCATGGGTAAGTAAAAAAAAAATATATATATATATATATATATATATATATCAATCAGTAAGCACATTTATAGAAATACCATGTTAAAAGCTTTAAGAAATTAAAACATTAAAATAGAAATTGTATTAAACACTCGCCCTCTTCTGTTCTAGAAAAGTATTTTTTTTTCTTTTATTTGAGAATATGGAGTTAAACTGTTTAAGATTTTTGTATATAAAATGTATTCAAAACAAAACAGGGGATAAAATCACATAGCTAATTTCTGTCATTCACAACTGGACTTTCACAGTAAGTTTTCATAATCTTCTTTAATTACCAAAATGCCCTGTGCAATTTGCCTCAAAGCTGCTGTAACTGTATCTTACTCAGCAGACAGAGATAGCCCCCCCACCTTCCAACAGAACAAATGTTATCAAGAAGCTAGCAGACATACAAGGAGAAAAATCAGTATGGAAGATATGCCTATGATAGACTAAAAGTCAGAGCAAATAAGCCAAAAAAATAAACCCTGCTTGATTAAGATAGAAAAACATGCTGTAAATCATGTAAAACTATCTTCGTTGTCAATTCTTAGTGATACTTTAGAACAAATTTGAGCAGGTTCCAGAACTGAGATTTGGTGTAAATATATATATATATATATATAGACACACACATGCTCATATAAATATGCTATTCTTAAAACCATCAAAAATATAAGTACTTTTTAGAATGGAGATTATGATTTTCACATACATGGAAATAGAATAAATTGATTTAGTACAAATTAATAAAGTAATTACACATTAGTAATTTCCATCAAGATTTTTCTTTTTTTTCCATGGCAACCACTAGTAGATCTTACAACAAATAAGGAGATAAACAATCCCGTCCAGGTTTTTTTTCTCTCTCTCTCATTTCAGAAAATAACATCTTAAAGTTAAAACAGACACCAAAAATTAAAAATTAAAGTGAATTAAAACAAAGTAAGAATTCAAGTGTCAACTTCTCATGGAGATTTTAGAAATATGAACATATCTAGTGAGTTGTTACACGCATTGGCAAATTTATAACTATTATTAAATGATATTCATTAATCAAATAAATCTACAGGAGATGCATACAACATGGATTAATTATAAATAGTATATATACTCTTGGTTAGAGAAAATGCAATTTTTCAGGAAAAGGCTTCTTCAAGTATAGTTTAAATATTTGTTATATTTTAATGCAATAAACACAAATAATCAATACAGTATTCCTTTCAATCTTTGGTTGTGTGGGTCAGATAATCCCCATGAAATATGGGAATCTTATTTAAATGTTTTGACAACCACATTGAGAAAACAATTTCAACACTACTTCAGGGACAGTGGCTATCGATTTACAAGACACAGGATGTCGAACATCCAGCGGACCTACACTAGCTCTTCCTTCTGAGGGAGGTAAAGAGGGCAGACGGCCCAGCATAGCACCTGTTTTGGAGGTTGCAGACTCATCCTCACTTCAGACATGTGACCTGCTAAGTGACCAGTCAGAAGATGAAACTACCCCATCGGATGATGAAGTCTCTGCAGGCTTAGAGTACGTATATTCGATATAAACTAAACAGTATTTGAAATGCTAATAGCATGTAAAAACAAGCATGGATAATTTTTGGACACACAGATCAATCCAAGTTTTAGCAAGCAAGAGACAAAGGCCAGTTATGGAAACATTTCCTTTTTAAGAAATGCAATTGTCTGTTAACAGAATACTGTTATGCCCATTTTGAAATATGAAAAACAGATCAACTCCTCCATTTACTGGAGATTTTCTACACTCTATTAAAGATGTAGATGTGTAGAGCAATTTATTTTATAGCATAGACAAAGTAACATTCCTGAGCATTTTTGTACACTCCATAGTTATAAGGACTACTCAACTAAGTTGTAAATGGATAAGTACTTCTGTCCTGACGATCAGCTCATTTAATAAGCTTGTTAACATAGAACAATAGGCATAAGTATCTGACTTCAAAATGTAGGAACAAAAAAAGCAGTATGAGGCAAACTAATCTAAATTGTATGTATGTTACTGAAAGTAATGATGCATTGCTCACATAAAAGCTCAAAACCAAATCTTTTAACTGCTGTACAGATAAGCAATTATGTTTATTGGAATACTGACAGGGATATTAAAACTGAAATACACAATTAAGCCTATGGCTCACCTAGCACAGTTTCCTATCTCCAACAGTGGGAAGTATGAGAAGCCCCATGGAAGATCACAAAAATCCAATGAAAAAAATAATATCATAAGTCATCTTCAGTCTTCAAACTGAAATAACAGAGCATAAAAGGCTTCCTATTTTCTCAGTGTCCCCTGATAGCTGTGGATATTGTACATATCATGTATGTACAACTGAAAAACTTTCTAACTTCTGTTGCAAGTGACAATCTTCCTTGCTACCACCCAGACTCTTATTAAAAATGAAAGCCAATTAGAAAGCTCATCTCAGGTAAAAGAAGATAATGACCTCTCTCAGTATTATTGAGTTTTTGAAAGACAAATGGAGAAGGAAGACGCCCCACTATGACTTCTAGGCTTTTTTATATCTTTATTTTCCTTTGTTAGAAATTTCCTGAATGTGTATTGAAAACACTAGAGCAATGAACTACAATACATCAGCCCAATTCTAAAGATGCCTATATACAAAAAAATACCAATCAGATTTCCTTCATTCCACAAAAAAATGTGACAGCTTTCATTAAATTTAATATAATTGGTCAAAGATACAAAATACACTCTTTATTAGTTTTATACACTTCAGTCTATTAAACTACAAATAGCTACAAAACTTAGACATAGGTAAAAAATTGTATAGAATAGTTGCAAAGTCAATTGTGTGTTTCAGTAATTGGCTGTATTGAAAAATGTTTTTTCTACTCCCTTAGGTATGCCAAAGGCTATCCTCCTTACTCTCCTTATATTGGAAGCTCTCCCACATTTTGTCACCTTCTGCATGAAAAAGTACCCTTCTGTTGTCTAAGATTAGATAAGGTAAAAGGAGTTTCTGTTACTGCATGAAACTGCATTTGCATTTGTCTTTTGCGTCAGTTAAATTCTGGTTTTAGCTTAGAGATAAGCTTTATTTAGTACCTACTAAGTTTTCACACCCTTTTCATCACCAAGTATTTGTTTATGTCTACTCAGGTCTGTATCGGGTCAGCTGATACAATTTTCTATTTCTAGTCATAAAACCCTTCAATGTCACAGCTAAGTCTTTATTCAGGCTGGGAGATGAGGGGTTGGAAAGCTGCCTGGCAGAGAAGGACCTGGGAGTATTGGTTGATAGTTGGCTGAATATGAGCCAGCAGTGTGCTCAGGTGGCCAACAGCATCCTGGCTTGTATAAGAAGCAGTGTGGACAGCAGGTCTAGGGAAGTGATTGTCCCCCTGTACTTGGCTCTGGTGAGGCCGCACCTCGAGTACTGTGTTCAGTTTTGGGCCCCTCACTACAAGAAGCACATGGCTCTGGATGCTTGAGAGAGTCCAGAGAAGGGTGACGAAGCTGGTGAGGGGTCTGGAGAACAAGTCTTATGAGGAGCGGCTGAGGGAGCTGGGATTGTTCAGCCTGGAGAAGAGGAAGCTCAGGGGCGACCTTATCACACTCCATAGGTACATTTAAGGAGGCTGTAGCAAGGTGGTGGTTGGTCTGTTCTCCCATGTGCCTGGCGACAGGATGAGGGGGAATGGGTTAAAGTTGCGTCAAGGGACTTTTAGATTGGATGTTAGGAAGAATTCATTTACCAAAAGGGTTGTTAGGCATTGGAACGGGCTGCCCAGGGAAGTGGTGGAGTCACCATCCCTGGAGGTCTTTAAAAGACGTTTAGATGTAGAGCTTAGGGATATGGTTTAGTGGAGGAATGGTTAGTGTTAGGTCAGAGGTTGGACTCGATGATCTTGAGGTCTCTTCCAACCTAGAAATTCTGTGGTTCTGTGATCGGAACTTCAGTTTTGACTGCTTTAGCCTTCTGAATTGGTCTGGTTTGGTTTTGTTGGTGGGGTTTTCTTTTTGTTAGCGAGAGACTCTGACCCTTGGAGATCTGGAGAGAAAACGGGTCGAGGCAGGGTTGCATGGGGCAGCCTTTCTCTCTGGCAAGCCAAACGGCCTGGGGGGGAGCCAGCCCCAGAAAAGGGGGCCCTCAGCCCCCCCAGCCCTCGTCCTTGCTCCACATGAGGGCATCTTCCAGGCCTCTCCCAAGGCAGCTGCCTTCGGCCTCGCACGGGCCGCTCCATCACAGAGCTTTGCTGAGGTCACAGTGGCCACCAGCGGCCCCGCCCTTGCCCCAGGCCCTATAAAAGGGGCCCCCCTGCCACTGGCCCACCACTTGCTCAGCGATTTGGTCTTCCGAAAGCCAGCGGCTGAAGGAAGGCCAGAGTTACGAGCAAAGCGAGCGCAAGGCGAGCAGCAGCCCTTCTCAGTGCGAGGACAAGAAATTGTTCCTGGGACCACTGAGAAGGATGTCTGGCTCTGCGTGGATGCGCCATGGGTCGAGGGCCAGCACCTCCAGCACAAGAACCATCAGTGCCCAGGAGGTGTCTGGTGCCCGGCCCAGAGGCTATTATGATAAACATCATTGGAGCCGAAGCGATGCGGGGAGCAGGCCAGCCCCTCGGATGGACACCAGCAGCAGGCCTGGGCCTAGCCGGAGGTCCAGCGATGACGGCAAATATAGAGAGCATGGGTTGGAGGGCCACAGCAAGCGGAGCTGTGCCCGCCGGACGGAATATGATGCAGGACCCAGCCGTGGCCAAGGGACAGATGACAGCAGGAACTCCGTGAATGAAAATCAAGCGGAGAATGGAATGGCCCCGAGGCCCGGAACTGGGAGGCGTCCTGGTGCGGCACCGTGGCCAGAAAATATGCCCAGTGGAAGGCAGCCTGTGTGGGCAGTCCCTGCCAGGGACTGGCTCGTCCTCCAACCCGCAGAGCCCATGGAGGTGGGTGCACAAGATGAAGAGGAAGCGATGGAAGTGGACCCACCTCAGCCACAACAAACATGGGACTCCGCCGGCAGCTCTCTGAAAAGTGTCATCAAGGAACACCGGCACCTGTGCAAAAGGGCTCGGCCAGCTCCCTATTCCGCATCGCCTAGGCTCCACTCCAGGCATTAGCCTGGAGACAGCTGGCAATAAAGACCTTTGCCAATTCTCAGGGGTTGTGTGAGTGCTTCTTTCCCATCCGGCAGCCCTTCTGTGACAGGTGGCAGCCCTTCTGCGCAGAGCCTCGAGGAAGAGCACAAGAGAGGCCCCAGCTCCCTTCGGGCTGCTGTGCTGGGGTGACAGGAGGAGTCCCCAGGAACCACCATGCGCCTTTAACATTTGTGAAAATAAACCGAGGGGTGAAAACAGTAGTGCGTGAGTGATTATAGCTGGCTACTTTCTTATATTAGGAGTGAGTTTCTATAACTGAGTAATTGGTAATGACAGATGTGGAGAAGGCTGAGTTACTCAGCAACTTCTTTGTCTCTGTGTGCACTGGTAGAAGGGCTTCCCACATCTTTCATTTCCCTGACCCCATAGATGGAGGCTGGGGGAGCAGAGTCCCACCCACTGTAAGCGAAGAGCAGGTTCGAGACCAGCTGATGAAGCCAAAGAGGTACAGGTCTACGGGACCTGATGAGCAGAATCCCAGGGTCCTGAGGGAACTGGCTGATGGAGTTGCCAAGCCTCCCTCCATCACAGCAGAAAAGTCCTGGTAGTGGGGTGATGTCACTAGGGAGTGGAAAAATGGAAACGTCATGCCCCTGCTCCTCAAGAATTAAAGAACTGAACAAAGAGCACTGCTCTTCAACAAGTAAAACAATTAGGAGACATTACTTCTCAGAAGAGCAGTCAGGCAGTGGGACAGGTTGCCCAGGGAGGAGGTGGCGTCACCGCCCTGGGGGTGTTCAAGGCAAGGTTGGACGTGGTGCTTAGGGACATGGTTTAGTGGGTGACCTTGGTGGTAGGGTGATGGTTGGACCAGATGATCTTGAAGGTCTTTTCCAACCTTATTTATTCTATGATTCCATAGTTTAATTCCAATTTGGTGGAATTATTATTTTTTTTTTCCTGTTTATTCCAATTGAAAAGGACTTTCTTGCTCTGACTGTGAGCATCCTAAAACCCCTCTCTGTTCCTTGCCAGCAGGGCAAGGGATTTACGGGATGGTATCTCAGTTATCTGCGGAGCAAGAAAATTGAAATTTGGCTCTTCTTTTTGAATCTATAGCTGTCTTTTCCTTCTGTGTGTCATGAAATCTGCCATATGGAACATGCTTTGGGAAACTGATTTAAGTGTTGGTGAGTGATTTGGTTCAGATAAGTTGAACGGAGTTCTAGGTGTTTTTCACACTTCAGGTTGAGTGCCCAGGTCTTTTTGATTATTTTGGGCAATCTAGAAACAGCAGCATTGCTGTCACTGCTAGCCATGAGATTCTTTGGGCATCGGAAATGATACTGCAACATGCTGGACCTTTGAAAAACCAGGAAAGAAAGAAGAGTGCGTAGTGTCTTACCCCCCAAAAACAGAAGGCTTTGACTGCTACTGTGGCTGTCTTATTTTCAAAGAAGCTTGTAATATTAACAAATACCAGGAAATAAACTATGGTTGCTACAGAATGTAAGGATTTATCTTAACTGATGCTCTATCTTAGCACAAATAAAATTTGCAGGAATAAGGTGGTGGTGAGGGGGAACATGAAGGGTAGAGGTTAAGCAAGTATAAAGTAGCATCCTTCTCGTTGGCTGTCTGCCAGTTCGTACCCACTGAAGATCTGGCCCAACTTGCCTCTAGTCTGTTTTCCATGTTAGAGGGGAGCCAACTTTCCTCCCTTATTCTGGTTTACCTTTTACTTCACGTAGTGTTTCCTGCATTACCCAGCGAATTGTAATTGTAATTTGAGTCTTAAATTTGAGTCTTGATGTTTGAGTCTCAAATGGAGGCATGGAAAGAAATGTCAAGAGCCGTGTAAACAGCTTTTCCCTAGCCCCGTGAAATTTGAGGGCATAATTTACCCTTTAAACTTTTATATTTGCTTAGGAGAAGCCTTTAGCTGTATGCATAGTAAAGCGTTTTCCCCATGCTATTGTTGGATCACTGTGTCACTACAAGTTGATAGGTAGGTAAGATGACCTGAGCCTGGATTTCTACTGTGGAGCTTACAATATGTGACTGCTTAATTGAGTTCTTTTAGTTGTTTCTTTGCCTGATTTCAAGAGGAAACTAGTACTTCTCAGTAGAAAGTAACCTGGTCTTCTACCTGAACTGTTTACATCTGAAAGCTTTACAGGGCACAGCTTGGACAACTTGGATGCCTAAAGCGTGACAGAACAGAACCAACCAACTCTAGTCTCCTGGAGAACCTCCCTAAGGATAGGGCACTTCTACTCTTCGAATCTGAATCGTTTAGGTTGGAGAAGACCCTTAAGATCATTAAGGCCAACCATCTGCTTAGCACTACCAAGTCCACTGCTAAACCATGCCCGAACTTCTTTACCAAAAGGGTTGTTAGGCATTGGAACGGGCTGCCCAGGGAAGTGGTGGAGTCACCATCCCTGGAGGTCTTTAAAAGACGTTTAGGTATAGAGCTTAGGGATATGGTTTAGTGGAGGACTTGTTAGTGTTAGGTCAGAGGTTGGACTAGGTGATCTTGGAGGTCTCTTCCAACCTAGATAATTCTGTGATTCTGTGACGATTCTGTGATTCATACCCACTGAACTTTTTTCTTATTTTGATTTTAGGGGTGCCAGCATAACTACTATGAAGATGCCAAAGCCTATGGATTCAAAAATAAATTGATTATAGTTGCAGCAGAAACTGCTGGGAATGGCTTATATAATTTTATTGTTCCACTCAGAGCTTATTACCGACCGAAGAAAGAACTAAATCCCATTGTATTACTCCTGGATAACCCGTATGTAGACTTTAGAAATATTATTCTCTATTTCTCTATTTATTGTTCTTTTTTTTTTTTATGATAACATTTTAAAATCATTTACCATTACTTTGATAGATGATCACTCTTCACATGACCAACTTAAAATCAAAAACATTATGGCACGTATAAGTTTGCAAAGTTGGTTACAAAAAATAGTACCCTATACGCATTGTCACGTACAACATTGACTTTCTGCTGACTGTAAAAGGTCAAAATTTTTATGTCCTTATTGACTGCTGATGTTTCAGTGCTATTTCTTAAAACACCTCAAATAAAATGAATAGTTCCTAAAATTAAATAACTTCATAACTGCTATATAAAGATCAATCCGTGCAACAGTTTTATAGCTATGAAACAGCACTTCAAACCCTAACTTTAAAAAAGGCACTTAAACATCTGGACCAGCTAAGAATATTAATAATTTTAGACAAGATAAGCAGTTCTTTAAGCCACTAGGACCCACCTCCCACCCCCCTTTCTCTGTGATTATATAAAATCGTGGAAGAAGATTAAAACCTCAAATATTGTTGTAAATACCACATCTGTATGGTGACAACTGGAATTATTATTAGACAAATTCTCTAGCAAGACTACTTCACTTACAAGTTCACATTGAATATAAGACTTTTTTTGCAGCACTTTGGTGCAAAAACCACAATTTGTATGTACAACAATTAAGTATGTACAACCACAATTTGGAAGACATGCAAATAGAGGTTAGCCAGATGCAGAATATTAGAATAAACTATGACTTAAAGAAATGATAGCAACAGAAATGTACAGATTTTGATTCCAGACTGACACTTGTTTGCATATATATGTTCTGGTTTATTATAAGTGATTTTTTTATGTAAAGATCTTCAGTGAAGTATCCTACCTAGCCTCAAACAGCTCTTTAATGTATCTATATATGCTGGTGTTTGCAAAACAAACGTTTTATGTTTATATGTGTCATGGCATAAAATTTAAATTAAAAATACAAGCACACAGTGACCTCTAGTGTCTTACAGTGCCTGAGTTATACTTTAACATTGTTGTGATATTTTACAGCTAAAAACACTTTTCATAAGCAGAAATTAAAGTTGTGGTTGTTAAACTAATACCCTTAGTGTTGCACTCTCTACACAGCATTTTCTGTGACTCCTCCCATCATTCAGTGAGGCTGCAGAGGCCTAGCTGAAAAGCCAACGTGCTTTTCATACGTGCACTAGGCAGAATTCATGCTGCCATTCAAGTCAATTGGAATTTTTAAATTACTTCACTGGACCTAGGAATTCAGCTACTTTTGACAAAAATATCCGTGCCTTGTTGCTATATTCTTATTTTCTGTTTATTGTAGCAATTTATTACAGTATGACCATTCTGACATATATCTCATGTTTTAAGATTTCACTCGTTTCTCAGTATGTAAAAAGAAAGCCCCTAAAACTTCTGAAGAAACAATAAAATAGTATTAGATTTCATGTTCTGTTTTAAAAATAAGGTTTCCTCTAAGATTTTCTCATCAACTTGAGTAGTTACTGGCACTACTGGCACTAAAGCCAAATGATGATTCTACTTTTAAATACTGCTAATTCATGCATTGGAGTATAACTTGGTAGTATGTCTTTGGAATCGGTCATTCATTTTTATATTTGAAATTGTACTGTGCCATAAAATTTCTGATTTAAGAGGTGCATTTATTAATATAAGCATGTTAATTCTGATCATTCTTTACAATTACAGAAAACTGTTAATTCACAGCTTTCTGCAAACCTATCTCCTTTTTAAAGAGATAATACTGCCAATGTCTTTAAAAAGTTTATTTTTTATTTTGTAAAAAAATCACATGCTAAATCACATTGAAGTATTTTAGAAGAGATGCTGCTGTTGTGATATTGTGTTTCATTTTGTAATCCCATCTGCTGCTTAGGCCAGATATGCATTTTCTGGATGCAATCTGTTGGTTTCCAATGGTTTACTACATGGTGGGCTCTATCGACAAGTAGGTGAAGTAACTGTTAGAAAACTTAACATTGTAGTGCTCAGTGGTATGTTCTGTGTATTGTCAATGCATGTTTAAATGTGTCTTGTATTTGAAGATGATCTATTTGCATGCATAGTTTGTGTCTGTGTGCAACAGTTTAGGATTTCAAGTTTCTGACTTCTGAAGGATACAGTTAGTGAAAAGAATGAGAGGGAATGCAAGTTAGTATCTTCAAAAACAAAACAACAATTTATTAATATGTATCTAGAAATTGACAGAAAATAGCCCTGATTCTAGTGTCATCCAATACTTGTCAGATTTGTTTGCATTTACAGACTGGGGTTTAGCAAAGATAGCTATAGAATATACTAAAAATGATAATTCTAAATGTATCCAACAGTCCTCATTTTCTGCTACATAAAATAATCACCTAGTCCTGTCTTCAGAAATTCTGCTAATACATGTTCGCATCTCTAAGTTTAGCCACATGGATTTAACATAAAAATCAGGCAGAAATGAATGGATCAATTGCTCATTAGCATTTTACTAATGTCCCTTGTATAGAGTGTCAAATCAAAGAAAGTGGTTTACTTCACTACACAGCTAATAATACTGCCCATAATACTCATTCTCCAGATGGAAATCAATCACTTAATTTGCTGTCCTGAATTAACAGAAACCATTTTTTCAGAGAAAATTCTAGAGATTCAACATTTTTCAGTTTCAACCTGTTGTAACAAGAGCTTTAAAACTACTTGTAATAGTGATACAGTTTCAGATTTATTTTGGCAGTATCACAGTCATTGTGAGATTTTCAGTGAATCTACAGAACTGTTTTTCACTTTCCAGATTTTTCTCTAACCCAAAAAGGTATCTTGAGTTGTTAATAGCTACTTCTTCATCTTTTTTTTTTTTTTAAATCTCTTAATTCCCTAATAATTATAGAAAATTACCTAATAACTAGAAAAAAATCATACCAGCAGAATAATCAAATTGATTCAAAGTATTCAAAGTAATTAATAACTCAAAAATGTTTGTGTTTTTATTAACGTGGGGAATTCAGTTTAATACAATTCACTGAATTTATTTCATTTATTTCAAGGAGGAAATCACCAAACCCTTCCCTAAATGTTGCATTTTATTTTTATTTTTTTAAGAGCTGGATGCCTAAAATGGCCGTGTGCCATCTTTAAAAGAAGTGCTTATGCAGAGTTCTCCAATCTACAGTTATACTAGCATGTACAGTTGTACTTTAAATCACTTTAAATTCTTGCTACTATAACTAGTCAGACTCTGTAGTTTATTTTTTGACATCTATTTTTGTCAATGACAAGACTTAAAAATATAGTTCATACTTATTCTGTGTTTTCCAAAATGTGTTTTTAAATCACATGCAATTATTAGAACCTGATCATCTTTAGCTAAGAACTACAATTAAAAATACCCAGAGTTCCTTTCTTATTTAATGTCTATGCTATACATTTCCTAAGCATTTAAAGATGCCACCTACTGCCTTTTATATCGCAATTATATTATATATTTGTTTTTGAAGAATATGTACAAAATGTGAGATAAATACCTAGAATTTCTATCCTTTTCCTTATTCCAAAATTTCAAAGTGAATTTATAATAGGATATGGAAACCTCGGAACCTTAGAAGATCAATGAGAAAATGAAAAAATGAATCAGGATGGTAAAGACAATATTATAGATAATATCAATTATAGAATCACAGAACCATTGAGGTTGGAAGGGACCTCTGAAGATCATGTAATCCACCTCCTCTGCCAATCACAATCACCTAGAGCACATTGCACAGCATGGCATCCAGATGGGTTTTGAATATCTCCAGAGAAGGAGACTCCACAACCTCTCTGGGCAACTTGTTTGAGTGCTCTGTCACCCTCACAGTAAAGAAGTGAGCTCTTATATTCAGGTGGAACTTTCTGTGCTTCAGTTTGTGCCCACTGCCTCCTCTCATCCTGTCACTGGACACAACTGAATAGCCAAATGAAAAGCAAATATAATAACAAAATAGCTTTTCTCTTTGGAAGTAAACATGAGGATGCAAAAATTTAGCTTTCAAATTTCCTCTAGAAACCATGAAATACCCTGCTCATTTTAACTTAAGAACTGCTATGTTTCTAGCAGACACACACACACACAAATGTATGCCATCACAAAAAAGTCCTTCCTAAACTCTTCAGAAAAGTGCTTAGTTTCTATGGAAAATGTTATTGTTAAAATAACTGAAACATGCTTCATTTTGGAAACAGACACTAGTTGCCTGTGATTGTTTCCTTTGGTTGAGCTCATAGGAGGTATTAAACAATATTGGAATATATTCACTATTCCAGCAAGGTGAAAAGTTTTCCTGAAGTACATCTGCTCCTAAACACATCATAAGAACATTGTAACTACATAAGTAAACCTAAAAGAGGAATCTCTTAGACATACTGTTATTTTTTGTTTGTTTTTTAATTAACATTTTGAAAAAAACAGTTGTGGGGAAGAGCAACCCAAGTCATTTTAGGTCCGTTTATTGCCAAAAGTAACTACAACAAAGTGAGTTGTTGAAGCACATAAGGACATACAGTTTTCCCACATTAGTGTTAAAGGCTTATTTTAACAATATGAAATAGTTTTATCGTTTTAGCAAAAGAAGAGGGACCATAACCTACTGAAATACATTCTGTATAACTTCAAAGTCAAAATGATTATTCATATTCTATTCTATCAATTCATTAAGATGATACATTTAACACAGACTATATTGGAGGTTATAGTATGTACATGGAGATTCAGGGAACCAGCAACTCAGCATGTGATTTACCAATACCAACCATCACTAGTCTTTCAAGTGTTCCATATTTAAGTGACTTGTTTGTTTCTTTCTCCCTCTTTCTCTACACAAAAGCCTAGATGACTTACTAAGATGTGGGGTCACCTTTGCAGCTAATATGGTGGTGGTGGACAAAGAAAGTACGATGAGTGCTGAGGAAGACTACATGGCAGATGCTAAGACTATTGTAAACGTTCAAACACTTTTTAGGTAAGAGACTTTTTCAATCTATCTATACACCATTATTAATCATGAAATACCTAATAATGTGTTATATACTTAGATGAGAAATAATTCTTTTTTCTTTTCTTCTACTTCAATTTCTACTTAAATTGTGTCTCATATGGGCAAATCTGTTCACATAGCAATAAATCTTAGCAATAAACTCTTTCTTGGCATACTAAGATTTTCTTTTGAAATCTCAGATCATCCCAAAACAGGATGATTGATCACTTTTTAAAGTCAGTTTACAGGTTTGCAGAAAAAGAAAGAAAGCTACTCTTGAAGACTTAGGACCAAAACTAGTTGAGAAAAAGATTTTTTTTTCCTCAGTGCAGTCTTTTAGAGTAATGCTAAAGCCAATACTAAAACCAGATTCTTCTAAAGCAATAACTTCTAAAGCAGTAACCAATGCATTACTATGAAGTTAGTTATAAGTGCTTGCATTTTGCATACATAGTTTAGAAAAAAAAAAAAACTGTTTTGTAGGCACATTTGTGTAGTATTATGTATGACAACAAAAGACTAAGAACCATAAAAGAATGCTTAGTGACAAATGATCAGTATAGTAAATGGGCTAAGGAACCAGTTTCACAATGAAGAGCTTAAAAAAACCTGAGAACCACTCCTGATTAAAACTGCATATTCAATATATTGATTCAACAAGTACCTAAGTATACCAGTCACTTTAAACTGTGAAAAAGTTCTTAGTTGCTTACAAAAAAAAAAAAAAAAAAAGCACAAAAAACCTCACAAAACCATATGTGTATATAAGCACTATACAGCCAAGTATGAAACACCTTCTTGATATAGAGGGTTCAGTGTCATTCAACACTACTGCCCTTTTGTGTGTCCATTTAACACGGGAGAGAGATGCACAGAAGTCTCTTGAAACTGTCAGTTTCTGAGAACTAAGCACATGAAAACAAGTATTTTAACAGATTTATTTTAATACATCTGCAACTACATAGCTAAATGCTGTCAGCATTATTGCATGTGCTCAGAAGGAGCAAAATCGATGTTGCATAGGAAATTAGTTCTGACCTGTTTTAACTTTGAGCTTAGTTTTTGAATTTGTATCTGATTTTAGCATAGGTTTGTTTCATAATCACGCACAAATTAAAAATTAAAAATGAACTTGATATGTGCAACATTCAGGTGTACTATTAACCATATCACATTAGGGTATCTCACTGAGATTTTGATATGCATCGCTAAATTTTCCAGAAACACTTCTTACCCTAAAATATAAAACAGAAATATAAACTGAACAACAATTTAGTAAGGACTAATTGATTTTTCCACAGTTGTGTTCTACCTTGTCAAATGCTAAAAATAAATAAAAAAGAAATCACAGTAACACCATAAATATCCAACTAGAACTTGCTGTATAATCATTCAGTTGTCTTGCACAATGCTTACAACTAGATGGCAGCTTTAACTCATGCATGAAACGTAAAATTCCAAGTATAGTTTAGTATAGTTCTAAGTCTGTCTTGTTCTTTTTGCAAACATCAAAATAAATATAAGAGTTAATATAACTTTTCTAAAAAATTTCTAAACTTTGTAAAGTATTGTATTTTATATATTTTTTTAATTTTTATTTTTTTTCCTAGAACACATGCAAAACATTCACTATACTTTATGTAATATCAGAGTTGAAGAAATAACTAAACTTCAAAAAGAAGCATAAAGTAGTGGCATTTACCTGTTTTGCAGGATAAACTACCTAGAAGACAGAGGCCAAGGCTGAATCTCATTGATTTGATTGACTCAAATCAACCAATCTCATTAAGAACTGTGGACAGGCCTGAAAAGATGTTGCAAGTGTGCTGTAATACTGTTTGGCCTAGGTTGCCATTTCTAATAAGTGTGTTCTGACGTTATTCCCTGATTTACATAAATTAATCTTGCTTTTCCAGAAGGGTTGTTTTCCCCCCTCAACTCCCTTTAGGAACTAGATGTATTGTTGACAAGGTTATTAGCACCTTTAAGGCTAGAAATTGTTCCATACCAATTAAAGTTGTGACACTAGCTTATCTGACTTAATTATAGTTAAAAGGAGTGAAGAAGTGTGACTCAGTCATACAGAATTATAAAGGACTTTTTTAATCCTTTAGACAGAAAAGAACTAAGGAAAAATTACAAAAATAAAAGTACAAAGAGAAATTACCAGTTTGGGGCTGTGTCCTAGAGATGCTTTTCACTTCTTGCTGTAAAATTAGCCACCAACCATTGAGTTCCTATTGATAGCCACAAGTCTACCTGAGAAAAATAGGTTTCTAGCACAGACTCTCTGCCTAAGGAAAGAGCATTTATTTACTTTATATTAATGGATTTAAATGTTGGTGTTTGGGAAGTCCTGATTAAGTTCTTATAAGCTAGCATTCTGATGCCTATGTTTCAAATACTACAAGAAGTATAGCAGTATCTATATAATCTATAGCAGTACATCTAACAACTAAAAAGTTCAGCTGGGATCTGGCAATCAACACCAAATGAGGTTCATCTATAAATGAGGTTATGATGGCATTACATAGTTCATCATCTTGGCTCAGGAAAAAACTAAACGCATCTCTCACTTGTCTGATTCTCAAATACCATTTCAACAGCAACCCATGTTTTCCATTAGACTGATCAAGGCTTTCTCCTCCCAGTCCAGCCATTTACTTTTACACACACACACTTTTATATTATATATATTTATATTATATATATATATAAGTATACACATATATATAAGTATACAATAATATAAGTATATACTTATATATATATAATATATATATTATATATACACACATATATATTTTTATATATAAGTGTATATATATATATATATATATATATATATTAAAAAAAAAACAAAAAAAAAACAGAATGGAATAGAGAAGAAGAATCTTGGCACAGAATTGGCCTGTTCTGGTGCTGAAAGCTTGCAGGCAGTGCCTTACACCAGGGACAAGAGGCAATCTGGCTTTGACAACCTGGAAAGTCTTTTCCCCTAATTCTGCTAGAGGGCACTTGAAGTATGAATTTTACCAATAGCAGGTTTGAAACAGATTTCCTAACCAAAGTCAGTTTTTACATCTTGGTGATGAACTAAATCAATTTTTAACAGAAATCTAGTAAATTGCAGATTTTCTGCTAGTTGTATAGATTTTATCATTAGATCAGGTGTTCAATTTACTGCTACTCTTAGTGCGAAATGTTATACTGTTATTTGTCAAACCTGAATGCCTGTCCTTTAAACACAGCAGTACAAAACTTTTCAACCAGCAGAAGTTTCAGTAATTATTCACAATATGATGCAGAATTCATGCAAAAGAAATCAGGATTTAAAGAGGAAATTTATTCCTCAGAACTTTAAGAGATTTGTTAAGCTCCTTAATAGATAAAAGTTCATACCTATAGAATATGACATTCTTAGGATTTTTACTTTTTAAACAGATGATACAAGTGAAGATGTATCACAGATGCATCTCAAGGGTATGGTTACTGTCTATTTAATCTGTGTATGCACTCCATTACTTAAGTGCTTTATCTTTAGTAGGTTATAGCAGACTGTGTAACTACTGCACCACTCAGAGTTAGTATCAGTCTGACTGTAAAAGCTAAGAAGCTACAGAAATTCCTAAGTGTACACAATGCCTTTTAGGGTACAGTGCCCACAAATGGTCATCATTAAGTGATTCAGATTCTCACCCAGTTTACCAGCTCCATTAACTTATCCTTATATAATCACTTAATATTTGGTTACTCACAGGGATGTAAGCGCTAAAATAACAATGGTTAGCATTTCTATCATCACATGATCATTAAAAGTCTACTTTTTAGCTTCAACATACCTAGAAAACTATTGGAATAAGACATTAACACGCATACTGGTAGGTAGCTTTTGAAATGTATTTCCCCACATTTAGGCTCTACTTGAATTAATATTTCAGTGAAGCTCCTCACACAAGACTGAAGGTAAAGACATGGAATTTATTTGACACTAACTTACTAAGTTCGGGTTCCAAGAAAACCACACAAAAACGGTCAATGAGCACTGTTTCTTATTGGTATAAGATGACAGAGTTAAAGCTTTGTGTCAAGGTCTGTTCAAGAAAGTAAAGGTCATATCTCACATCTTTGCAAGGGAACTCAACCACAGATTTCTCCTGAGTTTGACAAATACTTCCCTGGAAGAGGAACTAGAACAGAGCAGCTTTTATTTTTTTAAAACAGACAATTGCTCAAAAAATCCTTTTCATCATGGAAGTGATTGTGTAGATGCATGAAGATACTGCCAATGTATGTATGAAGGCAGACAGATTTTAAATAGCAATTTGTACAAAATCTAGAGGTCCTGGAAGAAGAAAGCTTGCATCTCAGTATCACTAACCACTACTCCTAGACAGGCTGAAGTAATGTGCTGACAGGAAATTCAGAGAGAACGAACACAAGATACTAAGCACAGGAAGGAATAGCCTTGTGAAGCGTTGCAGGTTAGGGAGCAGCTCTGCTGGGAAGAATCTGAGGGGCTTGGCAGACAGCAAGCTGAGCATGGGCTGACAGCATGCTCTGGCAGCAAAGGCCAACACAACTGTAAGCCGATAGCATCTTGGGCTGTGTTAATAGGAGCATGGCCGGTAGATGGAGAGAAGCAATAATCCCTCTCTACTCAGCACACGTTAAACTGAACCTAGACATTGCATCCAATTTTCAAGCCTTGATACAGCAAAGACATGGATAAACTGGAGGAAGTTCAACAGGAGATCACAAAGGTGGTCACAGGCAGAAGCAGATGCCCTGTGAGAAGCTCAGAGAGCAGGATTTACTCAGCCTAGTGAACAGGGAGACAAACTTAACAGTCATCTTAGAACTTGAAAAAAAAAGGAAGAATGTAAGCTGAGACAAGAGAAGCTCAAACTGGATGTACAGAAAACCTTTTCCCTCTTGAGGACAGGCAAACTGTAGAACTACACACATAGGGAAGCTGTGCAGCCTCTGTCCTTGGAGGTTTTCAAGACCTGACTGGAAAAAGCCCTGAGCAACCTGGTCTGAACTCATAGCTACCCACGCTTTGAAGGAGGTGTTAGACTACAGGCTTCCTTGTAACGTGAATTATCCTTCAATTTTTCTACAACGACAGTTTTAAATTCAAAGTCACACCTGGAATACTGTGTCCAGTTCTGGACTCCACAGTACAAGAGAGGCATAGATACACTGGAGAGTCCAGCAAAGCACAAAGATGTTCAAGGGACTGAAACATCTCTCCTATGAGAAAAGGCTGGAGAGCTGGGACTGTTTAGCCTGAAGAAGCTCAGGGATGTCTCAATGCATACATTTTTACTGGGAGGATGACTGAGCACTGCAACAGGTTCAGCAGAGGGGTTGTGGACTCTCCCTCTTCAAAGATACTCAAAATCCATCTGGACACAGTCTTAGATGCTACAATATTCTCAATAATGCTTGCAAATCTTTGCTGTTTGCTATCTGTAGACCATCTGTTTGTATTCACCTATCAGTGACATTTTATTTTTTTTTTTAAATGAAAAACGCTCCTTCATGATTGAATCATTTGGGAGAACATACTTTACAATAATGAATCACTGGCACTGAGAACTAGAGAAAGTCAGGCAGTAGTTGCCACTTAGAATTCGCAGATTCCAAAAGTAACATCCACAATACTCCAACTCATGGCGAGTAGCAAACAATGGCTTTATTCCCCATGATAGCACCTGAGTTTCTTAGTGGCCTGTAATCATTTTATCCCAGGATAAACAGTATTTTCTAGGTTTCTTTGTATAGTGAGGGGAAATAACAACATGCCAATCATTCTGGAATGATCTGATAACAAAGAAGGAAGCTTAAGTGATCGTAAAGCAATAAAATGTAACAGATTGTTTTTATCTGAATGAAACAGAGGCCAGGATGTTTTAGTCATTAATACTACAATTTTCTACTACCATATGTAAATAAATACTTTCAGGATCGGAAGAGATTACAAATACATGTCTAATTTTCTTAAGAGATTAATTTACAGAGGAAATAAATAATGAGTTCTAGTCCAAATAGTGTAGTCTTTGCATAGGATAACCTACAAATCTTTTTCCTTGTGAGATAGCTGAGGTTTGGGTCTTCAGAGTCAGCTTCATGAAAATCTCTTATTCAGCCAGGTCAGAGTTAAACTTCCTTCACTGTTTTTTGTTATTGAAAGTCTGAAATAGTGTTAACTTTGAAATATTAACACATGCAAAATATTTGTGAGAATACAGATATACATAAACATACATTTGCTCAGCAATTTTAAATTCCTACAGTCCCAAGAAGTGCTAATTCTAGTCCAGATTACTCACTCTGTAGACACAGACCATATAAACAGAACTAAAATTAAAAATGAAATAGTACATAAGCCAGCTGTAATCAAATGGTATAGTTTACATATAACTGGATACCAAGGAAAGGCTAAATAGTTCTGCATTTTTTATTTCCTACAGATTTCTATAATTTTAAAAATAATTAAATAAAAGCTCTGGTAATTAAGTAGTTCTTTTCTAGCATTTAAATAGAATATAAGCTCGACCTTCAAATATACATTTGCTTCTTTGTGAATTCTACAGAGAGTATTTGTAGAAGTTCCCTCTGCTATTATAACAGCTTTTCATTGTACCAAAAAAGGTGCAGTTTTCATGCACTTACTAAAAACATGGACATAAACACAAATCATAGCATTATATAGAGCCTTACACTTGTGATTTGTTGTAATTAGAGCTATAACTGTAACGTTCTTTTAAAATACAGGTTGTTCTCAAGCCTAAGCATTATCACAGAACTAACTCACCCAGCCAATATGAGATTCATGCAGTTCAGAGCCAAAGACTGCTATTCTCTTGCTCTATCCAAATTGGAAAAGGTAAGGAGATTTGCCCTTCTCCCCCTCCACCCCCAATGTAAATATTACTGTTTGAATACATTTTCTTATTTTTTCTTTCAAACAATTCTTCGAGAATAAGTGGAAACAGTGAAATTATTTTATGGTTGTAGCAGCAACGCAAAAGCAAGACAAACAGTATCACAATACCGGTCTGCAAATACAGATCTTTCTCTTCAGTCACCTTCTCCCTAGCCCCATTTGCTATTAATCTAGGTATTATTGCTAGGTTTTCTCACATAGCCTCCTGTTCTCATCACCTCATGAATCTTAGTTATCTTAGCAAATTTGAATTCATGCTGAAATCATTTTCATTATACAGAACTAAACATATGACTTCCATTTCCTAGCTGTACAGTATGTATAGTCCTAGATTCTGGGAGTAAATTTCAGATTTCAAGTATTTTCCCTATTCACTACATGATGTTGACATAGTGTTGACATGTCTTCACATACTAATGTAAAAAAAAAACATTTAGTAATGCTTATCTTCACAGGCCAGCTCCAAGTTTCTTACATGGGAATGGAATTGTGTAAACTCAGCCTGCCTAGAGGCGATGGCCTAAGTTTTATAAGAATCAACCTTTAACTCAGTTGACTATCAAGTTACATTTTGATCACAAATACTTGGGTGATGTTTTGTGATTTGTCAGTCTTTGCCTGAAAGAGAAGGAAGGCTTCATCTCATTTAGGTGATATTCTGATTTGTACATAAAGGGAGAACGACGAAGAAGCTAGACAAAAATTGTTACAGATAGACGAGCAGTTTGCATTAGGAGGCACATTTTTCATTTGTATTATGCCACTACCACTATCCATAAAGATTTTTACCTGTGACTCCTGCATTTTACGACTCCCTTTCCTCTATGGTAATTGCAGGACGAATAAGCTGGAACAGCACACCAGAAGGCTGTGCTGCCATTCAGCAAGACCTGTACAGGGTGGAGAGATGGGTAGGAGGAAACCAAATGAGGTTTAATAAGAGCAAGTGTAGAGTCCTGAACCTGGAAAGGAACAACCCGAAGTATCAGTACAGGCTGGGGGATGGCCTGCTGGAGAGGAGCTCTGAGGAGAAGGACCTGGGGGTCCTGGTGGACGACAGGTTGACCATGAGCCAGCACTGTGCTCTAATGGCCAAGAGGGCCAATGAGATCCTGGCGTGCATTAAAAGAAGCGCGGCCAGCAGGTCAAGGGAGGTGATCCTCCCCCTCTACTCTGCCCTGGTCAGGCCTCACCTAGAGTACTGTGTCCAGTTCTGGGCTCCCCGGTACAAGAAAGACAGGGATCTCCGGGAAAGAGTCCAGCGGAGGGCCACAAAGATGATACAGGGCCTGGAGCATCTTCCTTATGAGGAAAGGCTGAGAGACCTGGGTCTGTTCAGCCTGGAGAAAAGCAGACTGAGAGGGGATCTCATCAATGTGTATAAATAGTTGAGGTGTGGGTGACATAGGGATTTGGCCAACCTCTTTTCAGTGGTTCGCAGGGACAGGACAAGGAGTAATTGTCACGAGATAGAGCACATGAAGTTCCGCACCGACACGTGAAAGAACTTCTTCACGGTAAGGGTGACAGAGCACTGGAACAGGCTGCACAGGGAGGTTGTAGAGTCTCCTTCTCTGGAGATATTTAAGGCCCATCGGATGCCTACTTGGGCAGCCTGCTCTAAGGAAGCTGCTTTGGCATGGGGGTTGGACCCGATAATCTCCTGAGGTCCCTTCCAACCCCTTCAATTCTGTGATTCTGTTACTGGAATCATGCACTGGCAATTTAGAGTATCCAATGTCAACAGCTGAAAGGCCTTCAATACAGTGTTTCACCTACTGCAAAATTATTTTTTAAAATATTCCCTTAATCCATACAACTTAATGACATGGGGAAGAAAGAATAGGAATAACTTTTTTTTTTTTCCTCAGTGTATAGTATCTACAGTTGCTTCTGGACTATTCAATGGACGGTTAACATATCAATTCCAATGCAATGAAACCAAGATTTTAATCTCATTTCTCTCTCTTGCCTTATACAAGCTCCCTTTTTTACCCAGCACAGATACTGAAAATAGAAATATTATAACTTCTGTAATTTTATTTATTGCACAAATGCAAAGTTGTGGACATCGGTTGGAAGCTGAACAGTTAACTTATTTCCTATCCAAACCATGCTATGCTGAAATAGCAGTAGATAATTTACCTTAAAAGAATATTTTCTTTATTGTGATTGAAGTTGCCTGCTGTTGATATTTCCCATTCATTCCATCTTAATGTTTGCAGGGAACACTTCACAGGTGGTGCTGGAGTTCATTAAGTGTTCCAGAACTCCCTCATGCAAAATCAAAGGAAATTAAGAACTTGAGTAAAAATTATCTAATGCAGTCAAATGTACAGTCGATGATTATTTCTGCATTAAGCATCCCATTTTCAGAAAGACTTCAAAAGTCAGACTAGTTGTCTTCAGATAGCACTCAAACAAGCATGCAAGATTTACTTTTCAACCTAATGGGCTATGGAAGAAAGATACACATCTTGTGTAGATGTGAAGTCCATCTGCTGTTACAGCTGCAACTTTCCTCATTTTAAAAATAAATAGATCTGGACACCAATCTCAGCACTGACATAAGAGAAAGTAGTGGTCCTTTTATACAGCAGAGAAAAGGAAAATATAGTACTCACAGTTTAAACTTAGAACTTAGTTCTCCATTTGTCTTTGATAAGAAAAAAATGAAGTAACTGTTCCTGCTTTCTTGAAAAATATTTAGAATACCTTAGATAAGATTCAGACTTCAGCTTTTTATGATTTTTTTTTACTATTTTGTAAGTAAATATTGCAGGTGTTGACAGAAGGATAAAATCTCTGAAGTGATTTCATACCTTCAAAGGGATAAGTATATATATATTAGGTAAGCAGAAATCTGCCTTAAACATCCTAGCATATTTGCTATGACACATAAAAGTATGTTGCTTTTTTCAACTTCAGTTAAGGATAGAATCACAGAATCATCTAGGTTGGAAGAGACCTCCAAGACCACCTAGTCCAACCTCTGACCTAACACTAACAAGTCCTCCACTATGGCAAACAGTCTCCATTTGTTATTAATACTGATCAGGTTTTAAAACAAATTTGAAGTAACATTAAACAATAGCAAACAGGAATTAAATGTGGGTAATAAAAATATTGATTGGTGCCTCTTAAATGGTATAAATCTATCAGTTGAAGTGGATCTCTAATGATTTAGATCAGCTATAGCTCTGCCTGATACCATATACATAATTTGCATGCACATTTTGTTGTTGAACTGACAGATCTGTAGAAAGCTGTTTCATATCTTCACCAAAAATGAATCTGTTCTTGCCAAAACAGTAGGACAGAAGCCATTAAGAACATAGTCCAAAATATTGTAATCTATTCCAAAGGTGAAGCGATATTGATCCAAAATCCCTTATGTCAAGAAAGAGACCGTAAAGAGGCTTCCATACCCAGATTTAAGTCATATCTCACATGGGCAACAACCAGCATTTACCAAAACTAGCCATGCACTTACTTGTTCTCTGTAATAAACGACTAAACATCATCACGTTTATATGTTCTTGGATAACTCCAAAACTGTGTTTCACATTATATCCTTATACATTCCATACAGCAAATTTGCATTGTTCTTACATACCAGTTAGATAGCAGTTTCACATTACTGTCTAAATTGGTGTAGAATATATTAAATGAAGATGGGCCCTACATCTCTTTCAACCACTGAAAGACATTCAAAACAAAGCTTCAGGTTACTTTGTAGTTGGTATTTTACAAGTTACATTTGAGACTAAAACCAAAATATCAGAGCCTTGATTTCTTCACTAGAAGCTACATGTATAAGGTCAAGATTTCACATGCAACTCCTTACATCACACACCCATACCTCAAACTCTGGCCTGGAGCTGAAAGACATTTCTCAACCCCTAACAAGGAGGTGCAGCACAGCCCTGGTGCCATGAAACCACTGTGACAGCTCATTCATGTTTACATTAGCACATGTGTTTAGCATGTGTTTATTTATTAATAGTAAAAAAAAAATAATAAAAAAATCATGATAATAAGATAGGAAAGAAGGAAATAAAATGAAAACATTATGAACTTGACCTGAGCAAATATAGCCTAGTATTCTGACAACAAGCAAACCCCAAAGGAAATAATTAATTGAAAATTAAATAGCCTACATGAAGAAGGCATGGCAAATGCTAGGAACTTCCCCAAACCAGAAGGGTATTACTGTTTTCAAAGCAATAACAAGTGTAATTCTGAACTTCACATGAGCAAAGCCACAACCATAAGGAGAACACTGAGAATGAAGTTGTAATAAATGGCTTAGACTTCAAAATAGGACTATAATCAAAGGTTACAATTTATTAAAGGAATAGAGGTAAGCAAACAGCGCTGGGTGCACCAGGTCTCTGCTCCACCAAGACGCACACCAGTTACATCAAGCAGCTGATTTTTATGCTCCTAGGCTGATACATATTCATTACTACTTCTAAAAAAAACCAGGGTTATTATAGTTTCCGGAATCCAAACCCTCCTACTGGAGCATGTGTATCAGTCTCCAGTGGTCCCTCTGGGGGTCTCTTGTGCTGAAGGCTCATAGCCTTCCTCCCTCTTGTCCTTCTCCTTTGTCCAACTTGGCTGTATGTCAGAGACTTGTGCAGTGTCCCCTGCAAGCTTTGTCTTTTAGTCGTTCTTCAGCTCTCTCTGTCTCCTTAATCTCTTGGCCAGATATCAGAGACTTGCATAGTGTCCCATGCAATAGTTATAATAGTTTGCAGTTATTCTGAACTCCCCCAGATATCAGAGACTTCAAGGAAAAGCCTACAAATACATTTCCCTTCAAGCTCTCTGTTGACACAAATTGCTAAAACATTCCTTTGCAAGATACAAGAACTATATATATTAACCACTCTGCTTTTCTTAGACTTGTGGTTATACAAGGGTCTGTAGGACAGAAGGTCACATTCATCATACCATGTGGCCCTAGCATTGTTCCATACTGACACGAATCAGATGAACATATTTCACAAAGTAAATAACTCCATCTATTAATAACAGTCTTAAAATGTCACCTAAGAATGTGCAGTTCTGTTGGATTCACTCATGCCGTGATCTTTTCTACTTATGTTCCTAGAAACAATCTATACTTTAGTTGTAACCCCTTCCTTGTGAATTCCAAAAAAGTGTCAGGGAAGGAACTGCTGAGCATCACATGAAATAAAACAGCTGGGATATTCTGATACATTTTGGGGTTCTACATCTGCAGTATTATCTGGAAAACCAATGAGTCTGCAGGTAATAAAGAAAAACTTCAACACAGCATGCTTGAGTAAAAGTTGTATTTCTTAAAAATCTCATTTAAGCAAGAATAAAGAAAAAGCAAGCTTGTAATAAGAGACAAAAGGAAACAATATAAGAAATGTAATATATATAGGAAAAATAAACTTCCAAGCTTTCATTTTTAAATAATCCAAACAGGACCTATGCATCTATCTTCAAATTTCGGTATACAAACAAATTATTCCCCCAAAATATATCTTTTACTTTATCCTATCTTTCTTAGCACAAAATCAGAATCTGCAACAATTTTCTCTTAACAGATGGACAGATAAACACAATACCTCAGTCGTGATGTGATGATAGTCACTTCACAGCCAGTAACGTACATTATTTTTTTTTGCACAGCCTATAACATGCATTATTTTTGATTCATGCCATAAAATGTTATAGAATGGATGTAGTTTTAAACTATTTGTTGTAAAACAAATCTTATGTTTTCTGTAATTCACGTGGAGATTTTCATTCACAACAGCAATTAAAGAGAAGTATCATCTACTTTGCACTAAAAGAAAAGCATTCAAAAACATGAACTAAACTACAAAAGAACTACATAAGTTGTTTCTGTGGCTTACACCAGTAGGTGTAATGTTATGCTTTTCTAGGTAAAATTACTCTTTGTACTCTGAGACTGCTGCTTTCCTCAATTCTGTCTGAAATACACAACTTACTAGAAACACCCCTTTGCTGCTTGACCAGCGTATGTGAGCGCATGTTTGCATACATGCAGTTTACATGGTGAAGAAAAATTATGAATCACAGAGAAAGTTAATAAAGATACAGAGCACTGCTCCAACCACACAAACAAATAATAAAAAAAATATTAGGAGAAAAACCAAAACCAGGCTTTTTTTTTTCTGTGCAAGATAATAGTCCTCCTTTCCTTCGCTTACGTTGAAACCTCTGCTCAATACTTGTTCCACAGAAGCAGCATAAATCTTAACAATAAACATGAATCACGAAGGACAGATTTAACCTCTTGAATTTAAACACATTGAATTTATTAGCCATAACAATGTATGTGATATTTCTTTCTACTGATTCAAAAGGAGAAGCAAGTCAACCAGATGCTTTTGAAAGTATGTGCAAAAAACCAAACAACAATACACTTACGTACCTGAACACCTGCTTCTCTGTTTTTTCATTTAAACTGCTTGTTTAAAATAACATCTCTGCTGTGCGTTTAGTGATTACATTCTTCCAAAAGGAAAATGCAACTCAAATTGATACTGTAGTATCAAATAAGATACTTTAGTCTTGACCTGCCTGATGATTAGGGAACAATTGTCTGTTTTGTGGAAAACTTACTTAGCTAGTCAGCAGGAATGCCCTGACAGACTTGAAACAGACTTCAACCGTTAGCAGAGCAGTTAACGTGGCAAGGGTCAGAGAGGGAACCCAGAAACTCTGTTCCAGGCAGGGTGGGACTGCACAACAACAGATGACACAGCAAGCCTTGGTCTTCCCCACCTCCTGCTGGGGAGTTATCTATAGCAAATCAGCAATCTCAACTCAGCCAGAGTTCTGGAGGCTAGTTTCCATCATTCAGGTAGTGCTTGGTATGGATGTGCCTTGTGAATTAGCAACTGGTTATCATGACTTAAGTCACTGGTAGCACTTTGTAAGATTCTGGATCCCTCTTTGAGCAACAAAAACTGCTAGTGAGACATGCAGTCTGTTTGACAAAGTGAGTTTCTTTGCCAACCTTGTTAGGAATAAGTTGTGAGTTAATGAGTTGCATTGTTTTATCTGATGCTGTCAGGTGAGTGCTCAGGAAGAGTAGGAGATATGACTTTCTACAGTAATGCCATCATCTAAGCATACATTTTAATTTGCTAATGCTTGTTCCAGTCCATATCTCCAAGGAGGGAGGCTTTACAAGCTGTTTCACTGTTATCACCCTCACAGTAAGAATTTGTTTCCTTATGTTCAGAAAGAGCCATTTGTATTTCAGTTTGTGCCCACTGCCTCTTGTGCTGCCACTGAGCACCACTGAAAATGCCTCACTCCACCATCTTTGCATCCTCTCTTCAGATATTTGTACACGTTAATGAGATGCACACAAACACCCTCACCACCTCCTCTGCCCCAAACCTTCTCTTCTCCAGGCTAAACAGTCCCAACTTTCTCAGCCTTTTCTCAGCCTTTCCTTACAAAAGAGATGCTCCAGTCCTTCATTGTGGTGCTTTGCTGGACTCTCCAGTATTTCTGTGCCTCTTTTCTACTGGTGAGCTCAGGATACCATATTCCAGGTACGACCTCACCAGTGCTGAGATGAGGTGCAGGATCACCTGCTTCAACCTGCTTGCACACTCCTCCCCAAGACACTATTTAGCATCGTTTAACTTGGTGTTCACCAGAACCCCCATGTTCTGTTCTGCAAAGCTACTTCTGAGCCTGTCAGCAGCAAGTATGTACTGGTGCATATATGTGATGGATGTGTGTCTCAATTACAAACTATGTAACATTTCTGTACTTTGAGAACACATCTTATTCTTCATGACATCTCTGAACCAAAAGCTTGATGCATTCTCTCTCCTTAGGAAGAGAAGCTCATTTCCAACCTGTAGTTTCACTAATAACTAAAGGAATAAGAAGCACATTAGTGGGGTGTCTCTAGACATGAGTTGTGATATGAAAAAGAAATAACTGTAGTTATGTTCTTTTGCTTCCTTCCCTAGAAGTATCAGATCAAGAAGTTTCTGCCCTAGTCCACATCTGATCTCCTCTCACATTCTCTGAAATACTATTTCTTCCCTTTTGAATCAGATTCTGTTCATGCTTCATGTTCACATCCCTAGTAGACTTTTTGGATCTCAACAAGAGTTCACTGTCAGCATCAAGCAATTTGGATGAGGAATAACAAGAATTTTGCTTTAAGCACAGTTGAAATCCTACAATCTTTTTTTAAAATGATCTGGTAGAAAGTCCCTGTGCAACTGCAGATGTGAAGACTGAAACAATATATGCATTAAACAAAATCTTTCAACTTGAAAAACTAAGCATTGAATGCAGGTGCTACATATTTGTGGAAACTACAATTCTGGGTAAAGGGATTTTACACTTTTGGTCTCTTTCAAGGTAATATCATTTTGATATTATAATCCTTCTAAAAGCAGCACTAAAATTATTTTTTGTTATTAATTTCTATACAGAAAGAGCGGGAGAAGGGATCTAATTTGGCATTTATGTTTCGACTGCCTTTTGCTGCTGGCAGGGTTTTCAGCATCAGTATGTTGGACACACTGCTATATCAGGTATTGTGCCTAATTGTCTTCTGTCAACATAGATAATATGCATTCTAACCACCTGTTTTATTGTATGTAATTGTCAGATGACCCTATTTTCCTACATGTAAGCCATTAACATAGCTGTCTGTGCCACGAGCCATCAAAGACAGATCAGTGGAGCATGTTCCATGTGACCTCGCTATTACAGTAATCAACCCCTCAAATTGCCCTCTCATTGAATGAATTCTGCTTCTAAACAATACAATACTTGCTATGAAACTCTTACGAGTCTGGTGAGATGGATAATTTTGATTCAAACTGTATAAAATACACATCATACAGGCTATTAATGCTTGTATTCTGCAACAAAAAGTCAGTGCCCATTCCCACAAAGTAGCAGGTCTAACCACAAAAATCAACAGAAATATTTGCATCAGTAATTTACCAGCCATCTTACCAGGCAGCCTCTTCTTACTCTTGTCAACTAGACCTCCAGATGACCAGCCATCACACTTTAAAGCCAAAGAACAACTAGCTGCAAGTTGTGTTCCAAGAAGGAAAGATAACCTGCCTCCAATGCTGCCCTGCTATACCCAAGAGGTGGCAACAAACAGTCCTATCAAAGTTTGCAGAGCATACGCTGTCCTCTGATTCCAGCAGCCCAACTGATAAGGAGGAGAAACATTAATGGTTTTAGTTGATCTAATGTCTGTTCCTGGTCTTTGCCTTCACTTCTACATTTAGTTTGCTTAGTCATATCTAATTTCCACCTTTCTGCCAAACAGCAAAACACTTTGTTAGACCAACAAGCCTAACCTGAGATAAGGCAGATCTACTTCAAACATTAGCTGGGTCAGCAAAGGCAAATGGCTCCAGTTTCAATTAAAATAATAGTAGTCTCACCTTAGCATTATCCACTACTCAGTACTGCATCTCCATCTAACATAAGACAGCATTTCATCTGCACTGAACATAGCTATTTTAATTTTGTAATCAACAAAGCTAACATCTGACTTCCCCTGATATTACATCTACATGCACCTTAGTTTTCAGGCTTCCTCATTATACCTTACTCTCTCTGAATCTTTTTGTATACGAATGCAGAACCAAAAAGCTTTTTTTTTTTTCCCTGTCAGTAGATGCATAAAGAAATAGCTATTTCTACAATGATTAAGAAATCTAAAAGATGAAGAGATTGATTTTAAATGTGGATGTGCAATGTGTTTAGAATTTACACTTAGCACATAAGGTTACCTGCTCATCACTTCATTGAAGTTTTCTTTCTTCTCTGTCTCTCCTGCTAAAAATCTTGCAGTCATTTGTGAAAGATTATATGATTTCTATTACAAGACTTCTGCTGGGACTTGATACCACACCAGGATCTGGGTTCCTTTGCTCTGTAAGTTTAAAAAAAAAAAAAGATAAATTATTGTTATTACAGAATAACAAATAATATTCTGTATTGTCTGCAAAACACCTCTACTTTCTTTGTAGAGCAGTTTCTTTTGTGAAAGCCCAAGAAAGGCCAGCCATCTGTTTCCGTTTTCACTGGGGAGAAGACAGGAAAAATTGGTAGAAAATGTGTCTGGTTTTAGTTACCTCCAAAGCAAAAAACATTCCCTATCCCCAAAACCCACAACCCATTCTATAATGCATGAAAGAAAACAGGCAAGACAGGAAAACACACAAGTGCAAGTTTTGCTGTTGTTTTTGCCCCTCCCCCCCCCTTATTTTAATGTAGATGGCAGTTCAGCAACCAATTTTAATAACCAAATATATCAAAAATAGAAAACTCTACCTGTCTGTAGAGCCTAGCTATCACTTACACACAATGCTGTTTGACAATACCTATTTCCATCATAGGTAACGAAGGGAAAAATTGGACTTCATATAAATATATATCTACACACATATCTAAACTGAAGTAATTTAGTATATGTCACTGATGTTCAAATCATCTTATTCATGTGTCTCTATATTCCCTATGCAGAGTTAAAAATATTTAAGTGGGTTACTCCACCCAGTTAGTTTAATCTTTCACAAGGGACTCATAAATATCTTGAAATAAAGTTTTTGAAGTCATGAAATATTTGAAATTAATGTAGGAAATTTTTCTACCATTTATGCTTAGTGTATTGCTTTCTCCACCTTCTTTCTCCCCAAATACTGAGCTTGCTGTCTAAAGAACAGTTATCTGGCAACATTCAAAATATTTGCTTGTTCTACAGCCTGTCCATCAACAGGTTCTTACTACTGCTGATACGTAGTTCATTCTTTTTATATTTATTATTCTTTTTATATTTTACTCAGATAATGAACACTGGATGAGGGATACCATATAAGTTTAAATAATTGTAAAGCATTTTAAATGATGATAATTTTAAAGATAGAAGTAATTCCTAAATGACTGAACCACTTGCACCACAATGTCTACCAGAGAACAAAGGAACAGTGTCTACAAACTTGACAGAAATTTTGAATTTATTGTGAATGAAAGGTGCAACTCTACAATATGATCATTACCAGCTAGCATTTAGTTTTCAATTTTTCTCAAGAGCATTATAATGAACAAGTTATAAGCCATCATGACTTAAAGTTTTCCTTCCTATTGTTTGTTCAGATGAAAATCACAGAAGAGGATCTGTGGATTAGGACATATGCCAGACTATATCAGAAACTTTGTTCTTCTACAGGAGACATTCCAATTGGAATCTATAGGACAGAATCTCAAAAGCTTACAACATCTGAGGTATGTCACTTTACTATACTTTGGAGTTGGTTACAGAGTATACAAGATTTTATTTTTTTTTTATGGTCTTCATAAAAATTGGAACCACTTATTTAAAGAATATTGGGGGTGCCATGTATGCAAATGCACTTAATTGTAACCCACTAAGGCCTCCCTCCGCTGGCATGTATACAGTCAGATTAACACAAGGCCCAGACCACATGAATATCAGACCCAGTCTACATACAGATTTTCATTCCTATGCTCATCTATGAATTGACTAACTAAAGAGCAAATGCAGCTCAGCAACAGGTAGATTTAGGCTGAACTTGCATGTAGTGACTAACAGTAATATCCATAACAAACTATATGACCAGGTTCTGTATCAGGTGCAACATGAATGTCAACAGTCTAACCCGAACAGGTGGCATTTCAGTATTCACATGAATTTGCAACTAGAAATGAATTAGAGAATAAAATTGTTATTAAAAATATAATGGTATTTCTTTAACCTTGTCTGTTGTTGTTTCTGTATATGTCTGCCATATAAATATATATTTCTCCCTGTGTGTGTGCATACATACACAAACATATCAACATTGATAGTCTCTTTCCTGACTATTTAACATACGTGCTATAGTGACATACTACATCACTCATTTTCATTTTTTGTTTGTGCAGCTTCCATATCTCTTATCCATAAGCCATTTATTTACATGAGCATTAATACTGCCATCTCATTAAACCATGATTCAAATATGGTTCTACTTTGCAACAAAATTTTTCTGCTTCTGAAATACAGTCTCAGTTTACAGATTTCCAATTTAGACAACTTATATTCTCTTCTGCGATAAGGTTATAAAACATTAAGCCATTTAACTACAGGCTTTATCTTGAAGCAAGTACAAACATTAAAGTTAACTTAAAAATAAGGGTTAGAAGAGGCTATGCAAGATTCCAAGTTGACTAGTGACTCTTCATGGAGCACCAATACTACTCCACATGGCTTCTACAGCCTAGCTGGTGTGCTCTGCACTTGCAATAATGTCAGATGACTTTAAATTTAGCAGCATTAACACAATCCATCAAAATCCCTTTGAGAGGGATTTTGTAGGCAAAATCGCTGCTAATATGAAAAAAAAAAGTTGTCATAACTTTCATCACAGCAAAGGACATGGCAAACTAAAAATTAATTAAACACAGATAAGATTTTCAAAGGCTTTACTAAAAAACAAGATTTAAGTCAGTCAGTTAAACTCACAGTTTTACTGTAACATGAGGAACCTTTGAAGCCTGTACTTTAGTGCTTGAATACCTGATCAGATCAGGCCCAGATTTTCTGGGGAGGATAGAAGCAATTAAAAAACAAAGAAGACAACAAAACAACAACAACAACAAACTCCTTCTATTACTTCCTGCCAGGTTTCATTGGTAGTCTCCCAAAGAGTTTGATAAATCAGGCAGAGGAAGAATTGGAAAAGATAAAGACATCTAGTTAAATTCCCAAGTTGTTATGTACTGGATTCAAGTGGAAGAGTGGCACTGTCTTTGTTTATTAAATTAAAAGCATTTATTAACCTTTTTAAAAAGCTCCAGAATCAGAATGCAAACCCCAAGAAGTATTTCCTACATATAATACTCCAACAGTTTCTTGTTCAGTGGGCATTCATGAAAACCTTACCCTTCTACAGAGGCATGGGAGCCTTTCCTAACCTAGCTCTTCCCTAGAATACATAGAAACATCACACCTGGCTCTGCTTCTGTGGTGAATGGAGAAATTCTGAAATCTGTAATCTTCCTGTAGAGCTATTCCATTTTTAAAGTCATTTCCAACTAATTTAAGAAATAGTGTGAAGTATCATTTAGTTTTTCAATATATTAAACCAGAAAACAGCATTAAAATACTGTTTGATGAGGTCTTTAAAGTGGAAGTTAGAGAAACTTAAATTACTTTTTTTTGTTTTGTTTTGGAATGATGAATTTCTAGTCATAAATTGAAGGTTTCTAATGCAGAACCTCAAAAGTGTATATCAATTTCATTTTAAACAGACATACAAAACTTAATTTGAATTGAGTACACCTTAGAGCAGGCAGTTAATTTTTAACTTGATTCACAAGAACAAAACATACAAATATTTCTATATGTACTAGTTATCCTGTGAAACCTTTTCTGTACTATCCAAATAAGACACCCTCACTTCACTCTGACAGACAGATGCACGTCTTTCCCCTAAAAATAAAATTTTCAGTGATATAGTTGCTAAAGAACATGAAAACCTAGCTTGCCACACAATGACCTGCATGATTCCATCTATTTCCATTTAATTAAGAAGAGAGATATGGGATATTCCTTACTACCTGTGTAATTGATTTTCTGTGGTTGCTGTTAAATACTCCATGTTTGCTTCTGTGAATTCACTTCAGTTTAAATTGTCTTTTGTTTTGTTTCCCCCACCCCTTTCATTGTCAGTCACGAGAAACGGCTTCACAAGTAAGTATTTGCTCATTGTCTGCCTGTTTCTGAGTCAAACCCTGGGAGTAAAATCCTTACAGGAAACAGAACTATGTGATGGAACATCCTTGAATAAATAAAGCGTAAAACAACATTGTTCTGTACACAAACATCTTATTGAAAATTTGAAAGCTGACAGAATGACTTTTGAAAAGCTCTATGGGATTTGGTAGGCTATCCCTACTGAATCCTGAAGATAGCAGATCATCTTTGCAGTGAGCTGAAAACCTTGATCCTAAAGACAGTAACTGTTAATGGACAAAAATCCCCAAGTTTATTGTAAAGAATATGTGGCTACACGTAAACCTGGTTCAGGTTGCTGTTGGAGCAAAATTTTCAACACTGACAAGGTCAACAGAATCTTGCCTTCAGATTTGATTTTAATAGAAAAAGATCTTTAGAACCTCAGTAGCTCTTCAGATATATTTGGTGTAGTCACTGATCACTTTAAGTGTATCATGACCTCTTTCTGTTCTTGGGGATTCATATAAAGTAAGACAACCTCAAATTTAAAAGTCATCTTTGTTTTGGATTTAAAAACAAACAAAAAAAAGCCACAACACATCAAACTGGCATCAGTAACCGGGTAATAAGACCACAGTGATATCAGGATATTGGTGAGGGCTTCATGATTTCAATGCCAATGAAAGACATGTTTTAAATATCAGAACAACAGCTCAAGATTATAAAGAAGTAGTTTTTTTTTGTTTGTTTGTTTTTGAAAATACAATCCAAAGGTATTATAGTTAAATCTAACATTCACCTGAGTCATTTTAATACTGCTTTGTGTGATTGCACAAAGAGTATTATTGGTCACAGTTGGGTGGCATGAAGAAAATAGCAATAGAGGGCCAGTAGATTTTAAGTCTGCTTTTTTACAATATTGTTGCTAAAAAGCAATATAACTATACCTCAAGGTAGGAACTATAGATTACCACATTTGGAAGAGTTGCCCTGAATCACACTTTAGAGTACTGCATACAACTTCAGGCACAGATGTAGTCCAGAAATCACGTCCTGGTAGATGAAAAATACTTGGAAATGAGAGACTGGTAACAGGCAATTTTCACCTGTAGTATTAAGAGAGCACTCGAAATGGTGCAGTCAAAACAGTTACAACTTCAATTTCTTTTAAAAATTAAAAAAAGTTTTTTTTTATATATATTTTAATTTTTAAAATTAAAAATAAATAATCTAGTAGAGAGTAACCAACTCAGGAACATTTAGTAACTATGAACAACTAAATTCCCTCAGCTCCATTACAACTAAAACACTTGTTCAGCTGCACTACTGAAAAGTGAATGTTTTATTCTGCCTCCATTTTTTAAACCCCTTAATGTCTCATTATTCTCCCTTCAAGTCTCAAATCTCTATTAGTGTGGAAGAATGGGAAGACACTAAAGACACCAGAGAGCAATTTAATTATCGCAGTAACCATCGTAACTCAACATCTAGTGATCAGTCTGATCATCCTTTGTTACGACGAAAAAGCATGCAGTGGGCCCGACGACTGAGCCGAAGAGTACCAAGACACTCTGGTAAAACGGCTGAGAAGATAAGCCAGCAGCGAATGAATCTTTATAGGAGGTCAGAAAGACAGGAACTTGCTGAACTTGTGAAAAATAGAATGAAGCACCTGGGCCTTTCTCCAGCAGGATATGGTATGATTAATCCTTAAAATTAATAAAAATATGGGCTTGTGGTAATTTCTTTAAAATGAAATTTGCTTCATCTTTTTTAAAAAAATCAGTTCTATTATCACCCATTCCTATTTTCAGATGAAAGTTCAGAATATATGAGCTTTAAATAAATATGACCACCTCCGTCATATTTAAATTCAGCATATATGTGTATGCAGAATATGTAAATATTCCTTAGTCATTGAACAACTGCTCCATATTTCCACAAACTTGTTGAAACGTAAGTGAAGAGAGCTATTATGAAGTTTGCAAATCTATCAAGGTGGGGAGTTGTTTGTGTGACGGAGGATACATTTTCCCTGTATTTTTAAAAATGAACGCAAAAGTGTCATATTAAAGGCATTTTTATGAAGCAAGTTTCACTAGGTCTTTAGATGTTTTTATAAAACATGTCTTTTTCCAGCAAAACTAATTTTAATTTTTTTTTTAAAAAAAAACAACTCTATTGACAAGAGTTCTGTAATAAACTCCTAAACTTTATGCACAACAGCTGCCTGGGATGGCCTTCTAAAGCCTTGGCTTTGTAGTGTTTTGTGGAAATCCTCAGAGCTATGGGTTCTAGTTTTCCTAGGAAAAGCAACAGTTTCTTCATCTCTCATCTTTTCTGTCTGCAGAGTAGGTCCAATAAGAAGCTTAGCGCTTTCTTGTTCAGAAGAACCAACACTGCAATTCCCATACTCAATTTACATTCAAAGCATTCAAAATATTGCTTGACAAATGCATTACTACTGATTTTTCAACACCATTTTATTTACATTTTACCTGTATCTAAAGTATCCATTAGCTGAAGGTAAACAGTATCTCCTATACAATGAATATTCTTATTCGCCCATTTTGACAGCACATATTCTTAATGCAGGGTCAGGACATCCTTTAACATCAACAGTAATGTACTACCCATCAGTGGTTCCTATTGTTGCTATGTACACATTAACTTCATCATGAGAAAAAGCTACTGCAGAATACATGGTTATAATTTTGCTCAGTCTTTACAATTCACATATGAGTTCTTTATCTGAGACTCCAACTGGATAATTACTACTCCCACTTTATTTGTGGATACTATGAATCTGCTGGAAGAATCAGGACTAAGTATCTTCCAGGAGTGACACAGGCCACAGTAACATTTAATCAACCCCAAGAAATTTTGTAAACATTGTTCACGTTTATACTAGTCACAGGAAAACTTTGGTCAATTCCTACTTTTCTTTTATAATCCTAGTTAAGAGCTGACAGCAGATGTTCATTTAATTACTTAAAACCATTCTGTTATATTCAGAACAGCAAAATCTTGATAGGTAGATGTTTTAGCTAATACAAATCTATCTGCCCTGCTTCTGATTTACAAACTTCTGTTATCTCTTCCGTGTTTTCTTACAGATGCATCTCATTATAAAGAAACTACCTTGACAACCCCAAGAACACCATGTTCTGAAAATAAAAATTAAGTTTTACACATGCAGCCAGCTGCTAACCTGGACTGTCACATTCCCACTGCCATCTATCCTCCTTCACATTCAGTAAAAAAAAATTCCACAAGACTTTCACCTGCCTTCAAAACTAGCTCACTGCCCACTCATCCCACTACACATTAAGCTATTACTACATATCCTATTATTACATAGAGAATAGAAACCTTTTAACATCCTTATTTTTTCACACTTAGAAATCAATCATTCCAGTTAGCTCCCTGCAGAAGTTAAGCATATTCCTTAACACCATCTTTCTGCATGTAAGGGGAACAATGAAAAAAACAGGAAACAGTCACAGCTGCTTACATACCCCCATATAAAGGAATGATCCTATACCTAATTTCACATCTTCAGTTTTCTTTACACTGATAACCTAAAACCCCCTAAGCACTCCAATTCTAAAGTCAAATAACTGAATTCACTTATGCCAATTGAGGCACAACACATTTTTGGCAATGCAAGCCCTCTAGCTGAGGCATGATACTAGGATACTATATTAGCATGAGGCTAGTACACTGGTGAATGTGTTTGTGTAAGTTTTTACAATATTTTGCATCAGCTTCATTTTACAGAAATAAGCTGTACTGTTAGAGACCATTTTAGCTGTGTAATTGCACCTGTGCTAAGAGTCTGAGTTTATCTGATTGTTCTCTAGACAGACATACTTACGGTAGTGCAAAATGTGGTACAAGCACATAAAAAGTTACATGTAGTTTAAAATATCCAATATCAATTTTCACCCTAAAGACCACATATCAAGCATACTTGATTAACGCCATATAGGAATTGTGCTGAAACTAGAATGGGACTGTTCTCTTTTGCATCATTTTCCCTAAAAGTAAAAAAGTAATTAGCACAGATGAAATGCCTTTCCTATTAAATTGAAATTAGCCTCACTGCAACAACTTATGAAAAACATCAAGAGAAGGTTATACAAAAGAAAAGATACAGCAGTGACAGCTACAGAAGCGTGCTGAGACTCAGCTAAGTAAAACCCCTAAAAAAAAAAAAGAAGGAAAAGATTTCTGTCAGCCAATGCAACACAGCATTAGAAGAATGGTTAAAAATACAATGAAGAAATTCCAATTGCTGTTCATACAGCTTTCATATTTCAACCCACTGGCACATGTGATAAAAGTGAAAATTAGTATTTTCCTTGACACTTAGGGAAAGTGAAGAGAGAGATATATTGACCAAATTTGGAAATGGATAGCATTTAGCTTTGGCTATCGGTGGGACTTTATGCCAACTGAGGATGGAAGACCCTACTTTCCTCTTAGCAATGTAAGCCAAATAAATGATTGTTTAATCAAAATAAAACTGAGTTGTATTAAGAATTAATATGACTGGAAAAAAGTGCAAAAGAACATTTTTTAGAACACCAGAAAGAAAATGCATCTTGAGAGATAAATCAACAGATGCTATGTCAGATAGTTCCAATTCAAGTACAGTTGAAAAGTTGCTAAACTTATTTGATATCACTTTGACACCTGATCCTTTTGACAGCTCTGAGTTTAAGATGATCTTTTAATTGAATTAGTTTACCAGAAATTATACTTTTGACAATTTGTTTTTCAGTCTAATGAATTTGATATGTGCATTTTTGTCCTCTAGATGAGATGAATGATCATCAAAACACCCTTTCTTACATCCTGATCAATCCTTCTCCAGATACAAGATTAGAGCTGAATGATATAGTGTAAGTATAAGCACAAAAATCACAGGACATGAGAATTTTATTACTTTTCTGCTGTTAACAGGGGAACACGCTTTCCCATATACCTGGGAAAAAATATGGAGACTTCTGTTTAGACAACCACCTATATGTATAATTATGTAAAATATACACATTTCATAGCCCTTTTACCTCCATATTCTCTCATCTTCCTCTTAATCTGTGTATTTAAACAAACAAACAAGCAAAATTAACCGAGTTCACTGGATGGCTTCACAAAATTAATGTTCTCAATAAATTTCTCCAGTCTTAATAGAAAGATAACTCTTCAAATGGGATTTTACTTCATGGATTCAAATGCCACTAAAATAAAAAGCATTTCTACCCCAAATATCATGCAATATTCATGCTTATGATAATTCAAACAAATGACAGGACCTAAATGCAGCATTTTTTATTTTTAATTATTTATTTTTTTTAACTTGCTTACTAAGAATTTTGAAGACCACTTGAGAAAAAACAGGTGAACGCAAAGTTTGAACTGCTCAAGAATTTTAGATATATCATCAGCCACTTTCTCATACTGAAGTTTGATGTGATTACTGTGTTTAGTTCCTATGCCATTTTTGTCTCTAGCCTCTTTTGCCTCTGCCTTGCTATACTAATACTCCCCACCTGCTCCAGGGTCCTTGTGCAAGGTCCTCCACACCAGTGCCAACCCATCTCTCTGTTTACTCACAAGCAGGAAAATTGTTTGAGCTATTATCCCTATTGATACTAAAAAAAACCAAAACCAAACAAGGAAACCCTACATTTTAGTGCTTTATATTATTGTGGTATTCAAAAAGTATAGCATAAAAACTATTAAACAGCAACTATCGTTATAAAATTTGTTGAAATGATTTGGAATAGTATTTTCACTGTTATGGAACTCCACAATATAATATTTACTGATATTTAACTTGTAAATGCACATACTGTTTCCTAGTCTAGCTAGGTGGACTAGGAGTCCACATTTTATTTTTCTACCTTTGCAAAATAAACAAGGTATACAGCAATTCAATAGTGAGTGCATAATTTTGCAGCAGTACTGAATTTGCTGTGCTGTACCTACACATCTTTAGGCTGTACACGCACATACTGTTACCTAACTTGATGTATGATTGTTTCCTGATAGCGGGCCTCAGAGCTTGTGTCTGAGTTTATGCCAATGGCTTTTTTAAGATAAATTTTAGTTCTCTTGACTAGACAGCCAGTTTACCCTCATGCAATAGGAGATAATTAGTGGAGAGGCAAGAAAGAAGAAGTGTTTTTTTTCTACAGCAATTTTCCTTTAGTCACACATTTCAGAGCAGGTAAAAAGCTTTTTTTTTTTTTTTTTTTGTCCTTCCTACTGACGAGCTGGAAGGCTGGTCTTCCCACATTTTTTTCACCTGTTTCTTAGTACATTTTCCAGACTTCCCAGTCTTCCTCCTGCACATTACTCTTTCATTGCTGTTATTTGCACTTTCAGGCCAATGTGAATTAATCCCATCTAAGCCATTTATTTCTGGGCAGCTCTATGATGAAAACAAAAGCCCTTAAAGGGCTACAGATTCAACTTTCATTGTCTGAATTCCTATACTTATACAACTGAAGTCCTTCACATTTGCTATGATGTTATTATGTTTGTGATTTATTGTAGGCATATTAGATAATATGCAACTTTGAGTTAGCATATGAGGAAAGTTTCTCGGCATTTAGAAATAAGAGTACTTGCAGTACTCTCCAAAGCAGTACTTGCAGCTGTTGGATCTACTAGAAGTCCTTTCTCAAAACTAAGAGGTCCATCCTGAGCCTGCCAGACTACACCAAGATTATCAAGATTGTGCTTTTCAGTTCTCTTAACTATGCACAACGAATCTTTTGATTCCTTACAACATTCTTTTTAGAGGAAGTGTATGAACTGCTTGTCCCTTTTTCAAGGCATAATGAGTAAAAAGAGATGCATAAAGAAATACAGAGTTACTGGCAAATGTGTGTTCAGGGACTGTAGCGGATGCTAAGGAACAGAGCTGATGTATCAAAAAGATCAAAGTGGCTCTCAGTCAAAATTAAGGTTTAGCTGTACCCTGTACATATACAAGATGCCTAGGCAGATGGTGCAAAAGGCTTTAGTATTATACAGTGTAAGTGGAATTGCCAAAATTTCCAAGTTACCCAACAGGAACTAGGCCTATCTAATTCTTCCTCAAATCTTTTCAACATTACAACAGTCTCTGTGTTTATTTATCCTTGCTTGTTCCAAGGCTTTTAATAAGAGTTATAATTTCTTTTTATAGATACTTGATCCGACCTGATCCCTTGGCTTATGTTCCAAATACAGCACCCAGCCGAAAAGACAGCTTCTGCAATACAGTGGGACAAGATACCAGGGAGGAAACACAACTTTGATATGTAATTCATCACAAAATTAAGAGACACTTTTATACACACACAGTTTCCACCAACCATTTTGAAAACTGAGTGGTACATTTTATTCAGATTCTGGAATCAAATTGACAGTGGGTAAGTCACCAACTTTAGAAACATGATCTCTAGAAATTCTAATTTTGGTGATTGTCAAGCTTTTGGCCTGTTCAGTATGGTAGTTGAACTTCATCTTAGCAGAATTGTGAAACTTATGATTTAACCAATATAAAGAAATGATGAAAGAAGTGATAGATTCCAACATATGTTTCACTTAGAAGCTTCTATGCATATTTATCAAGTTAACAACATGCCAGTGACTAAGCTCCTGATGTACATCCTCAAAGATTATCTGATGCCCATAGACAGATGATGCATAATTTGTGGCAGAAAATATGTTAATACCTAAAGGCACCAATGAGGCTGTATGCATCAAGAATCCAGCCTTTGAGATAATATTCAAGCCTAACTTGACACCTATATATATTAGAAAAGCCTAGTTTGGTCCCATTGTCTCTAGGACTTCAGTGTATGTTCTATGGGCTTACAGAATGACACAGCTTAGTCACACTCATTGAGGTTCAGATCTGGGGCACATCCACTCAAAATTTAGCCCAGAGGAGCCCATCTGGAAGAAACTCCCCATCATCTCACACAGGCATTTCAAAAGGTAGCATTTTGTAGAGCAACTGAAGCAGAACCCTTTTATTAGGGATACAGAAACAGCCCCCCCTATCTGCAAAACCTGGGAAGGAAGTATGTGAAACTGCAAACAATGGTAGCTCAGGTGAAAAATGACCCTTTTAACCTCAGGGAGGTGTCAATGAGAAGCCTTAGTAGATAACACAGAAGAGAGAACATCTCTTTAGGAAACGATTCATATCACAGAGCCTTCTTATCTCCACGATGATGACAGAACTGCAACTGTCCAAAGTATGCATATGTCCAGTCAGATTACCCAAATGTGATAAATTTTATATGAAATTATGTATCATGTTGAAAATGAGAGAAACTTATTACCCAGCCATAAAACAAATGGAATACTGCATTACATGAAAAAGCACCATGGATTTGAAGGTTCGATTTTGGCAGTAAGTACACAAGAAAGCACCTACTATTGTACCAAACACCTGAAGCTGCTACAGAATCTTCAGTCTACACATATAAGAACCTCAGAAGTTTTGCTCAAATCTTCTACAGAGGAAACACGACTGTGCATGATCTTGCAAAATCATATGCTTGCTTTGCCATCAATCACAAAGGGGGAAGAGCATCCTTGAAGTAAAAACCCTACTGCTACAACAATCCAACTGCACAAGAAATTTGACATGCAGACTACAGTGAAAAGACAGATTATGCTTTGGATTCCCTTGATGTCTTACATGTACAAAAATAATCCACTCAAAAAAATATGTTTTCTTCTGTATTATTCAGAAAACCAACTACATGGCAGATTTTGTTCTGAAAAATAAAATGCCAAGTTGCCCAAAGAAAACCTCATTGATGCAATTATGCTTATAAGCATTGCAAGAATGTTGAAATCAAATCACATTCATATTAAGAATTACATATTAGGAATTTCTTCTCTTCCTCTTAATTCTTCTGAAACTTAACTGTTCCATATGGCTTTAAGATTACTGACTTACAAGAAAACAGAGGACTTAGAGTAGACTGAAGTTGTCAGAACACTAGCACAAGAACAAGAGTTCCAGTTCTAAGAGGAAATTTCACTACTGAAAATTAGTACGACTACTATTCACTACTGAAAATCAGTACAAGTATAGGTTCTATACATATCTAATATAAGGATCAATGGGCATATATAATTCATTTTGACAAATCAGTTAGAACAAAAGTATAAGTTCATTTTTCAGTTGTTCTCACCTATTAGAAGTTAACTCTGAATTTTGCTGCCTCCTACATCAGTAGGCACATTTGCAAGCTACCTGTTCTGTTTGGGGACAGGAGGGCAGGCAGAATATCTTCAGCACTTCAATTTTCTCTACTTAGAAGGGAAATTCAGTGCCAATGAAAGGACTTTCCTAGAATGCAACTGAACCATCGATTGCTTTACTGAAACGACTTTCCTTAGTGACAATTTTAATTACTTACTGGATAGACTGTTGGTTTCTAGATAGATGCTTTAATAAAAAACACATATTGCTTATGCTTCAGTATTTATACTAGTTTGCCTATGAAGCAGATAAATTATCCAAATAAATTATTCATAGATGCTACCTACACTTAGATCTCTGAAGTTTGGTATAGACTATTGACAATGACAGGAAGTCTGCTTATATCTAGGATATACCTATATCCCACAATATGCTAGCCAGAAAGGTAGTAAGTTATCTAAATCTGTATCAGAGCCAACTACTGCCTAAGCAAGCACCGCTTCAGCAAAACCAAACTTCATAAGAATAATTGTTTTACTACATATGAATGTGGAACATACTACGTATGAATGTGTATGAACCCTGAATGTGTCAAGGGTTAGTTAAGCAGAGCCCAAAGCAGAAATGCTAAGGAACCTGTGTTTTTTCCACAGTGGCTGCCTGTGGAATCATTGAAATTCAAATAATGCAGAGCTGCCAGAAAGCGATATTACACTAAAGTTTTTTATATGGGTCTCATGTCAGGCATCCCCCCCCTCCTCCCCCACTACTTGTCTTCAGGCCTGTTCTCCAACCATACACACAAGATGAGGTTTCATGTAAGAGGGCCTGGAAACAGTCTCATTATTAATTGGAGCCAGAAGTAACTCATTCCAGTTAGGTGTCCAGAGGCCATGAATGTAGAAGAGGCAGGAAACTAACTCTACTCTGAGTCAGCCATTTATACAAAATTAGGAGAGCTGACATGCTGTCAGCTAGAGACAGCATGTAGGAAGTAGATCTTATCACTCTCCCAAGATGCAAGAACTGTTGAATCCAGTGTTTAGATTAATAAGCATTGAGATTTGAAAATGTTTTTACTTCCTACCAGACACCTGAAATGAAAGTAGAATAGAACTATGACCACCTTTTAAATGTTTATAAACAAAAATAAACAGAAGGTGGGGAGATTCACAACAGGAAAATAGCTCAAGCACACAGGAGACTGCCTAGCATAAGTCATGCCTATCTTCTCAATCTGACTCCTCAAAAAACTCATGTTAAGTAGAATTAGCATGTATTCAGTTACAATCTCTGCCACAGAAGGTAATACTAGCCTTAGGGAACGAATGGTCAGTTACAGAATCATCTCTGTCTTTTTATCCAGCTGGGGCCAGCTCCTGAGAAAGTTCCCCTACCAAGAAGGAAAATTGCTATAAGAGTCAGAAGATGAGGATTGTCAAATTCATTCAAGACACTGGTCTGTTCTGTGGCATAGGGAAATCTTTCAGCATGCGATCACGTGTACTGGAAGTGACTACAATGCTGTATTCAGACTAGCCTGGATAGTGATTTAAAATCAGTCACCAAGACAATTCTGGAGAATAAACCTCAATGCATAGGTATTTGTCTGTAAGCCACAGGCATCTGCTAAAGACATCTTACAGAAATATATACACATGTAGTCTGTGCTTTTTTGCCTTTTTTAATTTATAAGATTTCTGGATGAATTAGCTCAAGACCAATACGTTGAAGGGAGAACAGAAAGAAGCTTTCTGTTGCAGAAGCTTTTCAATAGAATAATGTTTTGAGACCTCAGGAACCACAAATCACCAGCTGGGTCTTCTGCATAACCAGCAAATAAATGGCAGCTGAACCAGTTGCAGGACATTAGCCCATCAGAAGAAAACCTTATGGTGTACACATGGGTAAGACACCACTGATAACCCAAGAGAATTTTCACAGAAGCAGTTTGAACAATGCTTACAAGTTACTTAGAGCTTGCCCCATTCACAATCCACCCTTTCCTCCAAGGGAAAGGGTCAATATTCTAAATCAAAAGACATGCATTTGTTACTGCTTCCAAACTGATTCTCTAACAAGCTATGGAGGTAAACTCTCATCTATCCATCCAATTCATCTCAGGTGCTAAGTGTTCCACTAATAAACTACCTGATTTTTTTTTTTTTCCTGTGCAGATTCTCTGGCCATTGCAGCTGTATTTTTTTATTTATTTTATTTTATTTTATTTTTTTTAAGCTGAGAAAGAGGGGAGGCACAGGAGATGTTGATTACTTTGTCTGTAACAGGGCTTGTTTCTGCAGAAAACTCCTTAAATCACCATGCAGAACTTCCTTATTATCAACTTCAACAGGAAAGAAAAAGACTAGGTAGAGGTACAAATGATAGCTAGAAACATACAAAAACACTTTATTTACCAACCCTTCTACTTCAGATTTGGACTTTTTGAACATTTACGAGCAACAAGATTTAAGCAATGTTTGAGTATTTTATGTAATCTCCTAATTCCCACCCCTAGTATAATTCCATTGTTGCCATCTGTACAGCCTCCATCACATTATAGGGGCAATTAAAAAAATCCTTAAATGCTTTTAAGAAATGGTGAATTCACATTAAATAAAGAGTTTAATACAGTTGAAGACTATTCATTCATAATAAACTAACTATAAACATTTTAATTAAGAGGAACCAGCCAAAAAAGACTTCAAATAATCCACAGGGCTTTGAGATATTCTGACATACTTGACACTTGCTACAATTTTACTATGCTCCTGCTGTGTTTGTGGCTTATGAAATACTACTCTGCATTTAGCAACTTCAGTTTTCAGGCTAACCTCTTCAAGTAATTTATTAGTATGTCTAGAAGGAAAAGGAACGCATTTCAGCTTAAGAACAGCTAAAATGATGAGTTCTCTCTGGGCATCTTAAAATCCTATGCAAATGTTTAGAAAATAATCCCGATTACAAGTGTAAATCAATGTAATATCTGAGGCAAAAAGATTACTTTTTAAATTGAATTGCACTGGAAATTTTTCTTCTATGCTTTTTGTGAATACATCCATAAGAAACTGCGCTGAATAGGAACTGTTGGAATAGACTATTGCTATACACTAAACTATACAAGTGGTTGTTCTATGTCAGATAAAACATAACCTGAACATTTATACTTTTCTCCTTTCTAAGCAGAATAATAATCAAAATGCCAGCAATTATAAAGGCAATTATAAAATCTAGTTATTAATGGTCTTTTCCAAAGATAATTTTAAGTTACTTATGGATGCAAAATGTATTACATTTTTACCAGCCAACATCAGAATTAGAAGATTATCTCTGTTTACATTTCCTGAGATTAGTCTTACCTGAGTGCAGGAATCTGTTGCAGAAAAATTATTTTGCCAATATCCTTGTAGTCACATCAGTAAGAGTGCTTCTGAAATAATTAAGACTTTCTTGTAAAAAGACGGTTTCAAAGGAGAACTATGCTGCTCAAACCTCCCCCATAGGGAGTACAGCCTCCCCCAGAACTGTTTCTAGTAGACCAGCAACTCCAGTGCAGCCAGAGAGGCTGAACAAGCCCACAGCCCAGCCTGCAACAAATGGACCTGAGCCCGATCTCAGCTTGCACCACTCCAATACACTGAAGGATCTCCTATGGGCAAAGGGGAGCTTGCAAGTTCCAGCCCGTGGACTAAAAGAAGTAAGGAACTCTATCCCATCTCCTAGCACCAGAATACCTGTTTCCTGCCATCAGAATATCAGAAGGCCTCCTAAGCCTTTCAATTAGCATTTTGAAAGAGTCCCCACTCATGCCTAAAGAATTGCACCACACACCCTTGACCCTTTACAGCTTCCTGCCACAGGGGCTCAAATTATCATCACCTCTCTCCCGCTCCCATAAGTTTACTCACCTCCAGTGAACCCATAACACTTCAAAACTTCTCTACAACCCACAGCTTGCTTGTAAATCACCCCAATTAGAAGATCTACCTGCATCTACAACCAGTCTTAAAGAACCTGCACGATGTCATACAAAGGGCATATCTGTTTCATCTGCAAAATAAAATCTAAAGATTTCCCTTCAGTACAACAGTAAAAACATGAATTTAAAATGCTTTTGTACCATGACTAATGTAGAATCAAATCTCACTTTTTTTTTTTTTTTTTTTTTTTTTTTTTTTTAGGAGCCTATTGTTCAGGAAACAGATAAAAATGTTTAAAAATAGCTTAGGAAAACCATGTTACTGAAAGCAAGCAGCATTTAACAGCTTGTTCTGTTTCTGGTGCCAGATGCATATCCCTATTTGTTAGTGCTCACAGTGCTCTAATTGCATAGTCATAATACACATTATCAATTTGACATACTCTGTAAACTTCACCAAATAAGCACGTTTTTCTGGACTTAATTAGAAAATTTGCATCAGCAAGTTTTGTCAGCTCTAGTACAGCATCCTGAATCAAGCCCTTTCTCACTAAGAATCATTATTATTGGAGTGTGTCTTGGTTCTCACCCAAATGCTATTGCAATCAGAATTTTAGCATGCCTTAGATAAGTTCCTACAATCATATATCACGTCACACAGTCATAGGATCACAGGATCACGCTACCTGGAAGGAAGCTCAGAAAGTCTGCAGCCCCATCCTCCTGCTGAAAGCAGGACCAGCTGTGAGCTCAGATCAGGTTGCTCAGGGCTTTGTCTTGAAACCCTCCAATGGTGGAGACTGCACAGCCTCCCTGAGCAGCCAGCTCTACTGCTTGCCAGTACTCAATGGAAGAAATTTGTTCTGCATATCATCTGAGCTTCTCTTATTTTAGTACATGCCCTTCCTCTCTCATCCTCTCACTGTACACCACTGGGCAGAGCCTGACTTCACCATCTCGATAGCCTCCCCATAGTTACTGGGGGCTGCTGATAGGTGCCCCCAAAGCCACCTCTTCTCTAGGTTGAAAAGCCCCACTCTATCAGCCTTTTCTCATAGGGCTTGTGCCTCACCTCAGCCTGATAACATACAGGAGTTGTTCATGGATTACAACTTTAAATTCAACTTCAGAAGGATCAATTCTTCTATGGTGGAGAAGTTAGTATTACAGAACACAGAGAGTGGAAAGGACTTTTCCTGATACATGTGCTGATGTGAATAAAGTTGTACAAACATTTAGCTTTTTGTAAGAGAGTTTGAAGAGTTCATTATTTTTTACTTTTTCTCGGATATGTATGATATATTTGCTGGGCATTGTATTATAGCAACACATTTTTTGCATTGTACTAAAAATCCATCAATAAATAGGTTTCTTCATTTATTTCTTTGTCATGAAACAATCTTTTTTTTTCCTTTCAACAATTATTTTTTCGTTTTAACTGTACTTTTTTTTTTTAATTTGTAAATTTTATATTTGAAAATGTCCCCAAAATAACTTAAAAACTGAATACAGAGTGAAAAATTCTTCATCCAAGGAAATTTTGTAGTGTTTTCTCCTTGAACATGCATTACATGAAATTTGATGACTAAACCTGTCCAATATTGTAATTACTGTTTTTAGCAGGAGTTTTTCATGACTGTGTCATTTCCTGCTGAAATCAATGACAATGTTCCTAACATGCATTTTTTTTTTTGTCTCAGTAAAAATCAAGCAATAGCAGTTAGTAAAACCACAACCTGAGCTACCTTAAAATAGTAATTTAAAACTCCTGTATTACAGATACAAAGTGATTTTCCTCTTGAGTTTGTGCTCTGTCTGAGTAATATTTCCTCATGAAGTAAAAAACCCCACACTTGACAAAATACATATAAAGCAATTCATACAGACAGCTCTTGTATCTCTGTATTTAACCTTCTGTCTACTTTTCTGAATAATCTCCCTGGGCATTTAAAGCTTTTTGTGACACTGACATTATTTCTTTGGACAAAGATTAATACTCTCAAAATCATTACGTGGGGATGATAAGCAGAATCTCATCCTTACCTCCATGACAGGGCAGATCAGCTAAGCTGTTGCTGGCATATTAGTGTAACATAACCTTAAAGTACAAGATGGAGTAAAGAAAAAAAAGCTCCAGTTTCTTCAGGTTTTCATTGTTGGTCATTTTGGTCAAGACTCCTGATAATTTGTATTTTTCTCCTCTGGACTATCTTTAAATTGTTCAAATCCTTGGACATAATGGACAACACACAGAAATAACCTGCTAACCAAGAGGAAATAAAATTCCATGAAAGGTTTGGATGTAGAGCTTGGGGATATGGTTTAGTGGGGACTGTTGGTGTTGGGTTAGAGGTTGGACTCGATGATCTTGGGGTCTCTTCCAACCTAGAAAATTCTGTGATTCTGTGAAACAGTCCAAATAGCAGATAATTTACATTCGTAATCAGATAGAAATTTGGGAAGTAATTTACTTACATAGATATTTGGATCGAAACTTTTAGCCTGCAAGGTTATTAAGCATAGTGTTATTTTTCCCTTAGCTATGAGGATACTTTGTACAAGCTTGAATATCCTAAAATGGAATTTAATAACTTGCTGTCAAATTACTCTATCAGCATTTATTTTCCATCTAGTTTATTGTATCTCCATAATAACACCTAAATGGATATCTTGCATGAGGTATTCTCTGCATATTTGACTACTGAGAGTAACAGCAGCTGTACATATTAAGAGAGTTTGGGCAAATCCTAATATTAGATTTTCTGAAAAGGAAGCAGTTTCCACCCATATTTCTAATGACTTATTTGCTGGCATAGGGTACCCTGTATGCTTTCTTCTTCAATCACATTAGAAAGCAATCTGAGAAATATGAAAGGATATTAAGAGTAATTACATCAGAGTAATATAATATTAATGTATTAATTTATTATTACCTGTTAATGAAAATCTGTTTCATTGCATCTTCACTGTTCTTTCTTCAGTGTAACAAGTTCACATAATCTTTTTCTATAATTTAAAACAACAGACTTAATCAGTCTCATCCAAACCAAATTAACATACCAAGTGCCATTTAGCCAGCTGTTTTGGCAGAGAAAACCTGCTTTGCTCTTTGCACTTCAAAAATTAATATACGTCTGCTGCTTTGCTGACAGAGAAAGAACAGGCTGCCCACTATAGGTCTTTTCCTTTTACCTGACAGATATGTTTTCTCTTTTGTAGTGTTTCCCAAAAGAATTTCTGTTCATCTGTCTGAACGTAATAAGATCTATAATTATGTTATTGTACAGACAAGGAGAAAATGGCAATTTGCATATATCAAACAATGAAACACTAGGTGGACGTAGTATATGTATTCCCTGTGCATTGAGACAGAACCCAAGTAGACATCTTCCAAATGTATTGTCCTAGTTTCAGTTAAACCATGACATGTATATACTTCATCATTAAAGAACCACTGACAATTGTCAAAGCTAGGTCCCAGAAAAAGAGACATTTTTTGATCAAAACGGAAGGTATTCATCACCCAGGTATTCTTCTGATATGTATAATTTATTTGCCTTATTCTTAATAGGCTTCTGCCCAATTATTAAACAGCCTGTGAAAGAATTTTGTGGAGGAGGTAAAAGAGGCCCGAGGAGCTTTTCTATTAGATACACTGTGTTAAAAGAAACATAACTATCTGTCCTCATAACAAAGCTTTTGCCCCTGCAGTAAGACGCAACCCAATTAGTACCCCTCAGAGTTTAAAGTTGTGATAAGTGTTCAGTTTGTCCTATTGAATAATATCAACATATTTCTTGCTTTCTCTCAGAAGGGCCTTATTTGGACTCTTGACTGTCAACTCTCAGCATAAACAACCAACCTTAACTCCTGGAATAGCAGAGTCATTTCACCAAGTTTTCCTGATGGACCTGATGAAATTGAATTATATATATATTTAATTTCCAACAGTCTAATTTTCATCTGGTAGTTCTCCATTTTCTTTCAATAAGAATTGTTTTATTTATTTCGTTATGTATTGACCTTTGATTTCAGTTAGAACAGTAAGGTGATCAGAATTCAGAAATTAGAAAAGTCAGAGTTATTGCTGAAAAAGACTTTGAAGCAATCAGGAAAACATTTCTCTTGGTGCACTGCCAAGGACAGGAGAAAGATCTTCTAAGTAAGTCATGTTAGCAGCTTTAAAAGTGTGCACAAAAAGTTGTTCTTTTAATTGGACAGGTATTTTATCAGAAGAGAAGTTAGTTTGTAATACTATCGCTCAATGACAGGAAGATGGAAGCAATCTACAGGCTTCTGATTCTTCAAAATTCCTTTTTGTATTAAACATATCCCAAAATTTAATTTTAGAATAAATTATAAACATTTTAATAAAAGTAAAAAAAAACTCTTTAAAACTTCATTGTTTCATTTTCATTTTCATTTTTTTTTTTCCTGAGTAGGAGAAATGCAGTATGATGAATACTGAAAAAAAATATATCTAAATACAATAAATAAAGTATTAATAAATGATTTTCTCATATATGGCAGACCTTATTATTCAGATATTTTCACAGAATTTCTAGGTTGGAAGAGACCTCAAGATCATCGAGTCCAACCTCTAACCTAACACTAACAGTCCCCACTAAACCATATCCCTAAGCTCTACATCTAAACGTCTTTTGAAGACTTCCAGGGATGGTGACTCCACCACCTCCCTGGGCAGCCCGTTCCGGTGCCTAACAACCCTTTCAGTAAAGAAATTCTTCCTAACATCATTTTAATTTTAATTAATTAATTTCATTTAAATATTGGAATATATATGTAAAATATAGAAGTGAATTCAATACAATATTATAGTTATTCTTTTAATACGTATATAAATGCAAAATAACCTGCCAGTCTTTCAGTATGATTGCTTTCAATACTAGTAGCAGGATAGAAACCTAAGAGGTATGATAGATTGTGGAGTACGTGTTTATTTCAAATGCATACATTTATTAAAACATGCAAAAATATGTACATTTATAGTAAAGATAGTAACTGCTGTTCCAATTGCTACCTGCCTTGTAGGTTATAAAAATAGGAGAAAGATTAAATTAATGTAAACTTTTCAAATGTTAATGTGCAATTGAATGAATTCAAATCTAATGAAAGATTATGATTGATTATGTGTTCATAGCCTTGGAGCTGTGGATTGTGATAAATCACAGAGCAGGTAGCTTTGGCCATCTAAAAGTTCAGTACAGAGTTGAAAGTGACTGTCTAGGCTAACTATAATGTTAATGCAGACAGAGCAAAAGATAATTTCCAATGATCTGAGTGTACTTCTGCATTGTGATTTTCTTGATTACCCTAAAACGTCTTGTCAAAGTATTTTTTGGCTTCAGTAGGTTTTAACAGCACGATTCGATATAAGTTGGGTTATGCTGTAGAAAGAACAGTAGCTTCTAAGAAAACATTTCTAATAGACAGCTTTATTTCTATTTATTGGTTCAAATTTGATAAAATTATTAAAAAGGCAGCAGAGATTCATATCGCAGAACAGCAAACAATAAAGAAAAATAATTACAATTTATCTTATGACTTTTAAAGTGCCAAGAAGCTCTCAAGATACACACCTTGTTTTCCATTCTTCTCAGAAAAGAAGAAATGAAACATATTTTAAAGAAATTTCTTACCCACAAGAGTTACCCATACTATTAAACCAAAAGAATTTGAATTCATTAAGATTATTTTTCTACAACATACTGTGTGGCAAACTTGAGTTAATAGAACTACCTATATTAAGGTTGACATAGTGACACACCATTTATTCACACACACACGTATACACACACTTAACTGAATTCAGAATTTAACCTAATTTCAGACATGTTGAAAGAAGCCAGAACTAGGCATTATTAAAATGACAAAAAGTAAGATGAATATGAGTAGAGAAAAGTAGAAAAGGAGGAAGAAACAGAAAAGATGAATATGGTACTTTTTATCGTGGTTTCTGAATATGTCAATGTTTGCTTTTTTTAAAAAAAAGAGAGATGTGAGAAGTCATGAGTGAAGATCTACCTCACCAGCTTCTTGTCCACCCTACCTCATCTCAGGTTTTTGAAATAATTTCAAAGTAAGACAAAAACAAGCAAATAAGCAACTCCCACATATTCTATCAGTCCTTTGATATTTTCACTTCTTGAAGTAATGAGTTTTGAAGTCCAGTACTTTCAAGGTGATCACACAAATGACAAATTTCAAAGTGAACCTTAGAAAAAACTGTACTTATATTTTCAGATGCAAATTAAAGGTTGGCAGAAAGCTAATTGCATTAAAAATGCCTGTTTGTAAACATATCACAGTATCTTTTGCCTACTTTGTTTCAATTTAGTCAAACTGACTTTTGGCTGAAT